CTGACTCTGCTGCTGGATCATCTTGGTGGGGCTAAGAGAGACAGAGACTGAGACACACCTATATGTGTTGAGTGCTCCTCCCCTAATCTGATAGGATATTAGTTAAGCAGAGGGAGATTAGATTGGAGAGTGGGATGGGGGTGGAGGTGGGGTGAGATTACAGCAAGTAGGCATCCTCCCAGCTCTGTAAACATCTGTGGCTTCACTACTCTAAGTTGGTGAAGGGGAGGGTTGTCTGGTGAGTGCTGTGGATAGATTTAGACCAGGCTGGGCATGGGGCATTAGAGAAGGGTAATTGTCTCCCAAATATTTGGGGTAAAATATATGTAATTAGGGGTTGTAATCTACCTTTGAGGACTTGATCTTCATATGCCAGCATAGGGAGACACAAGTATTTGGGGGTGGGGGTATGCTAATAGATTGTTTCTCCCCATGCTGCCAGATCCCCAGGGCTTAGCAGGGAAAGCATCTCTTCCCTTGTTGGAAAACCAAACCTTGTATTTGCATCTCTGTGTCTTGGCTCCTGCCTCAGTAACTAGGCAGCCTGGTGTACCTCTCCCCCAGCACCCTCAAAAGGGCTCAAATAGCCATTTGAAAGGAAATAGCCATGCTTTGGGGGGGAGGAGGGTCTGTGGCTGACTTCCCTGCTCCTAAAACCATTTATCATTGGGCTGTCTCAAGGACACACAGAAAAGAGAACTTCAACATTCCCAAGCCCCCTACAAAGCAAGCTTTGAATCCATTGGGTGAAACAGGGAGTGAAGAAGTTGGCCAGGGGCTGGGGGCTGGGGGCGGAGGGAGGTTGTTCCCAAGTGTTATTCTTATGCAGGATAATGGACCTGCAGTGAAGTCCTACAGCTGTGTTTTGGTTGCTTGCTGTCATGCCAGTGACAGGTTTGCTTCCTTCCAGCGAATATATTAATTTGGAGCTATGGAAATTTCATTCAGTTGGTCGTGCCTGGGGAGCCCATGGGAGTGGGCCGGGCTGACAGAGAGATCTTTGTGCCAGCAAGCCAGGCTGGTTTCCAAGGTGCTATGGGACTGTGGGTTTGGGCTTCTTTCTCAGGGCCAGCCCCTTGACCACGTAGTTTTGGAACAAGTTCCCTGGAGAGTCTGCTGTTTTATCCTGTCCTCAGTCCCTCACTTCACTCCCCTGCCCCTTTCTCTTAGCATCTCTCTGTTCTGGTTCCTGAACATCTCCATGAGACTGGACTCAATTCCCATGTGTCTGGCTCCCTTTCAAAGCTGCCACCCTTCCCCCACCTTCCCACAGGCTGGGCTTGGGACGAGGGAGACGTGGCTTGGATTATTAGGCATCTCTCCTGCCAATCTCTCCTTCCAGCTTTCAAAAGATAGATGTGTTTGACTTCCATATCACTCTGAGGCTCCTTAAAGGAAATCCTTTGGTGTGTGGGGGGGGTCTTCCCCAAGTGATTTCTGGGGACCCTGAAGCAAATGTAACTTTCCTTCTTCTATGAGCTGACCCGAAACAGAAAGAAGGAGGTCTCAGGTTCATAGCCTTCTACTTGAGTGAGAATGGGGATCTGAGAACCAAGTGGTGATCCTCCTTCTGCCCTGTTCTAGTGGAGGGTGCCTAGTTTTTTTGTGATGCAGTAGGCTTGTGTCTGTGCTGTTACTGATATCCTTTTTGGAGTTTTGGAGGGAAGGGGATTGAAGGGCTATCTTATCAGTCAGCTAGCATATATTAAGCACTTACTAAGTGCCAGGAACTATACTAAGCCCTGGGAATGCAAAAAAAGGCAAAAAAACCAGTCCCAGCTCTCAAGGAGCTCAGTCTAATAGAAGAGACAACTATTTGCAAAATAGATATAAACAGGATAAATTGGGCGTCATCTCAGAGGGAAGACACTAAGATTAAGGAGAACTTAATCATAAACACTTCTTGTAGAAGATGGGATTTTATAGCTTAGGAGACATATATAATACAAATTATATAACACATATGTGTGTACATATATGTATGTGTGTGTATATATATATATATACACACACATACATACAATATGTAATACAAATTTATAGCTAGGAGACAAATGAGGAGAGAGTTCCAGGCCTGGGGGAGACAATCAGTGAAAATGCTTCAAGTCAGGAGATGGAGATGGAGTAATGGAGGGTCTTGTTGGGGATCAGCAAAGAGGCTGGTGTTATTGGATTGCAGAGTACACATGGGAAAGGTATAAGAAGACTGGGAAGATAGGAAGGAGCTGGATTATGGAGGACTTTAAAAGCCAAACAATATTTTATATCTGATCCTGGGGAGAATAGAGAGCCACTGTTCTTGATTGGCTAGGGGGATGACAGTCAGACTTCTTTTTATTTATTTATTTTATTTTTTTAATTTTAATTTTATTTTTATTAAGCAGTTGGGGTTAAGTGACTTGCCCAGGGTCACGCAGCTAGTATCAAGTGTTTGGTCTGAGGCCGAATTTGAACTCTGGTCCTCCTGACTTCAGGGCCGGTGCTCTATCCACTGTGCCACTTAGCTGCCCCCAGACTTCTTTAGGAAGATCATCTTGATAGTTGAGTAGGGGATGGATTAGGGGAGTGGAGATTGTTGGGACTTTAGGCAGGTGGATCAATAAGGAGGCTGTTTCAGTGGTCCAGGTGTGAGGTGATGAGGACCTGCACCAGGGTGGTAGGCAGTATCAAGAAAGAAGGGGTCTGATGAGACGTTTCAAAAGGAGAAATGACTTCATAACGATTTCGTGTAGAAAATGAGGGAGTGAGGAGTTGAGCATGACACCCAGGTTGCCAAGCCTTGGTGATTGGGAAGGTGGTGGTGCCTTTGACAGTAACAGAGAAGTTAAGATGTCAGGGTTTGGGAGAAAAGATGATGAGTTGAGTTTAAGATGTCTGTGGGGCACCAGTTCAAGAAGTCTAATTGGCAGCTAGAGATGTGAGCCTAGAGGTCAGGGCTGAACACATAGATCTGATAGTTATCTAAAGCACAGAGGTGATCACTGAAAACACCTCCTTTATCCAGCATTGGGCCATAGGAATAAGAGCTGGGAAAGACCTTATGGATCAGCTACTTCAGACTCTTCATTTTAGATATGAGAAAACCAAGGAAGACCTATAAAAAATAAGCAACTTGCTTAAGATAGCTAGTAAGTAACTGAGTTGGAATTTGAACCGAGGCCAGTGCTCTTCCCACCACATCATTCCAGTGTGCTGTCTTATCTCATGATAAGAGACTGTGCCTTATCTAACCTATGTATCCCAGTGATGAGCTCAGAGCTCTCTATCCAGTATTAATAATGGTGTGCATATCCTTCTGATAATAGAGGTGATTTGTCAGTGTTAATAACTGACTTGGGTTCCAGTTCTGCCTTTGTTATAGTTATCCTTTCCATATCATGACCTTTCCCCATCCAGGTTTTGATATATTATATTGAGGATCGGCATAAGAAATTAAATGGTAATTTGGGGGGAGTTTTGTGGAAGGTGCAAATGACACATGAAGGCCAGCAGATGACACAGAAAAAGTTTAGAAATTCAGAAATGCATAAAGTATGTGTATAGTATTATATAATATCAATATATTTTACCTTTTAATACCAAAATAATTCAGACTTCTATGGTACAAAGGGAGGACCAAAAAATTTTATGTGGATTTTCTAGAGTGTGGGGGCGCCATGTCCCTGACATGGCAGTTATCCCTTCCCTATGTGGAAGGGATAACTTTACACTGTTTGTGTAACCCTGGGCTTGAGTTAGAATCATAAGCCTTCAATAAAACCTTTTTTTCCCCTCTCACCTTGTTGGCATTTCAAGAGACCTTTTTTTGCCTGATGCCCCCTCCCTCTTTCAATAACCCCCACCCCACCACGACCACACTTTCATGTCAGTGGAGGATTGCGTCCGTTTTCCTTTAGCCAAGTTGTAAACAGAAGCTTCCATTCCTGGTGTTTTCTGTGGGGCCTGTGTAGTTATATCTGCCTCTTGCGGAGTGGGGGGAGAGCAGTCTGAAGAATCCCAGCCATTTGTTCTGGAGGCAAAGATGAAGCTGCCTTCACTGATAGAGACTTCTAACGAGAGTAAATGTCTCCAGGGGGCATGTGTGACCTGATCCTCCTCTGTTCCCTGTGTGTCCTCTCCTAATTCTTCTTTGCAGTGAGAGTGGTTCTCCGGGGAGAGTCAGAAACCTCAGGAACTTTCAAACCAAGTATACCTTGGGTGCTTCTGGGTATTCTGAGAAGTGATTATATCCCTTACAAAGCTATTATTGTAGCCTTTCAGGAACGTGGGTCTCTTGTGAGAATGCCATTCAGCATTAGTCTTTCTAAATCTGAGCCCTGGGTACCTATCAATGGGGGAATGGCTAAACAAGTCATGGTACATAAATGTAATGGAACACCATTGTGCTGTAATAAACGATGAAGGGGGTTGGTTTCAGAGAAACTTGGGAAGACTTATTTGAATAGATGCAGGGTGGAGTGAACTGAACCAGAACAGCTTATACAGTGACAACAATATGCTAAAGACAAACGTCTTTGAATGAATTAGGAATTCTGATCAGCATAATGACCATCCACAATGCCAGAGGACTAGTGATAAAACAAGTTATCCCTCCCAGTTGGAGAGATGAAGTACAGAATGAGACTTTTTTTTGGATATGGTTAATGCAGAAATTAGTTTTGCTTAACTATACATGTTAGTAACAGGAGTCTTGTTTTTCTTTCCTTCTCAATAACGGTGGGAGAGAGAGATTAAAATAAAATTTTCTGTAAAATCTGGGCTCTACCTATCCATGGGACCATAGACAAAGAGACCTCAGAAGCTGCCTAGTCCAGCCCCTTCATTTTATAGATGAGGACTGAGGTCCAGGGATGTTAAGTATTGTCAAAGGTCACACAGATATTAAGCTTTGGTGGGATTTGAGCCCAGGGCCTCCTACTCCAGAGTCATTGTTCTTTCTGTTGTAAAACACTGCCTCCATCCTATAAATAACCAGCCGGTACCTTGTGTTCTCTCCTTAGGGTATCAAAAAGCCTTTCACAGAAGTCATAAAAGCCAACATTGGTGATGCCCATGCAATGGGCCAGCAACCAATCACCTTCCTCCGACAGGTAAGGGCTCGGGCATATGCTGTTTATGATGGGATAAGAGAAAAGTAATGTGGTTTAGTTTACGTGGGGATGGGCTTGTGAAAACAAACAAACAAACAAACAAAAAACCCAGCCTCTATCGTGCTGTGTGGTCTGTGACCACTCAATTCCTTTCTTCCTGGGAAGCAGCAGGCCCCACCTGCTGAGATAGATGTGCTTTTGAACTTGCTTGCATCATCTGCCTAATGGGAACTTTCATCTCCAATTTCCAATATTCTCCTCTGGCTCTTTAACCTCCATCTCCTTCCCCTTGCTCACCACCCAGTCCCAACCTACCCTTTCTGATAACTCTGCCGGCCTTTTCAAGCAGGGACTCAACCTCACTGTTGCTGGAATCATCAGCTGAAATTACAATAATACCCAGGATGTGGCAGATCTTTAAGATTTCATGGAGGAAACATGTTTGATGCTTGTAAGGCTTGGTTGTTTAGACTGGAGGAGACTCAAGATCATAAATCTAGAGCTGGAGGGATATTAGAGGTCTTGTCACACCACCCTGTCATTTGACAGTCCCACTAGAGTTTGGGTGACACACATAAATGGCAGTCAGGATTTAATCCTGGCTGCATCCCCATCCATCGCCCTTTCCACAGTACCACTCTTGTTTCCCTTGGTGTGGTGGTAACAGTGGTAGGGGCCATGATTGTAGGCTTCAAGTATTTAGAAGGCTCTCAGCAGGAGAGGGATTAGACTTTTTGTCTGCCTTGGTTCCAAAGGGTAGACCTAGAAACCTGGAAGTTGCAAAGAGACAGATTTAAGCTCAGTGTGAGGAAAACTTCCAAACAATTGTAACTGTCCAATAGTGAAATCTGCTGCTTCAAGAGGTAATGAGTTAAATCTCATCAGGGGCCTGGATGCCCACTTCTCAGGGGTCTTGTAAAAAGGATCCTCTCTCTGAATACAGGGAGGATTAGAAACCCCCTGAGGTTCCTTCTGCCTCTCAGATTTGGAGATACAGGGGTGGGAATCTGACATTTCCAGGGATTCCTGTGTAGTGACTGAGAGGTCCATATTCAGCACTGCCAAGGTCACGGAGAAGAGGTCATAGGAGGAAAGGCAATCTGAGGTGCATGTGGAGGTAGTACCTATAACCCTGGAGGGGGACAGAGATGCACAGATAGAGACAGAGTTCTGGAAGCCTCTGAGGAGGTAAGAGTTAAGACTAGTCTCTGTGGAGTTCTGCATGCAGGCATACAGATAATCAGAACACCATGTACGCTAAAAGAGCAAGAGGAAGAAACAGGCTGGGGGATTGCTTTGTTTTAAATATTCTCTCTAAAGGAGCTGTATCCAGCGCTCCATGAGGCCCTGCAGGGTTCTGCTGTTGGGAGGGGTTATCTGTCTCTGAATACACCTGGCCTGAGCAGGATCCAGAGGAGTCTCCAGGGAGCCCTCAGTCCTCACTGGGCTTTTCATTTTGCCCTATAAAATACCACCAGAAAGGTGGCCCAAGACCTGTTTTTGTTTAACATAACAGCATAGTCCCTATTTTTTTTTTTTAAATGGATAGTTCATGAGACCAGGACAGCCTTGTAAACAAGTATGGAAAATTGACCTGCCCCCACATGCCCTTTTCTCCACAGCCTGCCTGGCTTCCCCCACCAAGGGATTCTTGGCATTGAGAACAAGTGACTTCACTGTTCTTTTCCTCCTCTCTGGGCAACCACTGTTTTTATTCACCCTAGTAGGCTGGTAGGTGAGTGACTAGCTTGGGCTTGAGCTAATAGCAGCAGCAACAACAACAACAACAATAATAATAAAAGAGCTTACATTTCTGTAGTGCTTAAAGGTTTAGGAAGTGCTTTTCCCTAAAACCCTGTGAGATGAATCCATGCAAATGTCATTGTTGTCTTCATTGAGAGGAAATGGCCACTCAGACAAAACAACTCCCCCAGGGTCCCTCCGGAAGTGTTAGAACTATGATTTGAACCTAGGTTTCCTGAGTCTTGTCTGCAGCATCACAGAGGGTATACGTGTTACAGGAGAAAATAGTTTTCTTGCCCTAAAAAAAGGGAGCTTGACTCTGATGACTCCTAATCAGATATTGCCCAGTCATGTTATAGGCCCTGTGGGAGTGGGTAAGGGGTGGTCCAGAGATGAAAAGCCACTGAGGGACAGAGAATCTTTTTGTCTATATACCCTCTTCCCCACATACCTTAGCAGACTATTCTGCTGACCTTTTCAAACAGGGACTGGCCTCACTTTTGCTGGGGCAAGCTGCTGAAATCAGAAAAATCCCTGATTTGAGTCCCAGGGCATGGCAAATCATTAAATAAGATTTCTTGGAAGAAATAGACAAAGTGGGGGGCAGGGAGGGTGAGGATGGGAAGTAGAGGGTGGAAAAAAAAAAGTCAAAGGGCTCATTAAGTGGACTGGAACTTAACTTGAGGGGATTTGAAATGGTTCTGCCTCAGAACATACCTCTGAACATCTACCGAGTGTACCCAGGAGCCCGGAAAGCTGCAGGACACAGAATGGTCTTGTTTCAGCTTTTTTCATCTGGCAACTCATTGCTGAATGCTGTTCCTTCTAGTTACTTGTCTTCCAACTTGGAAAGCTTTGGTTAGGAGGAGAGTGAGAGTGAGCAGGGCAAAAGAAGAGGAGCCTTAGATTCTGAAGGCAGATGGGACACATCTTCTGTGATGGCCTCGTGTTAATTAGCTTTGGTCCACCTCCATCCAGTGCTGTATGCTTCTTGATTTCACCTTCCATGAAAATGTGCAGTTTGAGCCCCTAGCTCAGGCAGGGGTTCTTAACCAGAGCTCTGTGAACCTTTTTAAAAAAATATTAAATATCTACTTATTTTAATACAATAGTTTTCCTTTATAAGCCTGTGTGTTTTATGCATTTAAAAGCATTATTCTGATAAGAGCTCCGTAGGCTTCAGCAGATTGTCCAAGGGGTCCATGACACAAGAAAAAAAAACAACTCCGTAAGTCTTTGCGCCTTCCCTGTTTCTCCACAGGAAACTCCACGAATGGTTTCCTAGCTCCTACTCATAGAAGGAACTACAGAATGAAATTGTGCTTCTCAGCTCCCTCTTTAGCGCCCGTTCTGCCTAAGTTCTAGGCCGTTCAGAAAGTGCATGGAGCTCAGTGACTGTCTGCATTTCCCTTCTCATTCCTTCTCTGCCAAAAGTATGAGATGGAATAGAAAGAGAACATGGAGCTTGGGGTCAAGAGGTACGGGTTCAGATCCTGGCTCAGCACCTTATTTAGCTGTGAAGCTATTGGCAGATCGCTTAACTGCTCCAAGCCTGCTTCCTCATCTCTAAAAATGAGTAATTCCTACACTGTCCATCTCAGAATTGTGAGAAAATCTTAAAATTAAAAAATCTTAAAACCTTAAAATGCTATGGAAATGTGAGCCATTGTAATTTGATTACTCCCTCCCCACCAGCTGGGCTCTAGCAGACGTCCCAGGGAGAGGTGAACTGCTGTAATCTCTGGAATAGATCCCAGGTGTGTGTATGTATACATTGTGTGTGTGCGTGTGCGTGTGCGTGCGTGTGTGTATTCAGAGAGTTATCCCTCCCTCCATAGTTTGTCTCTTGGGACTTAAGAAGACCATAGGTCAAGGAACAAGTTGAGGTTCTGGGAAAGAGGCCCATACACCTTTCTCCCCTTCTAGGTGGTGGCTCTTTGCACATATCCAAACCTGTTGGACAGCCCTAGCTTCCCAGAAGATGCCAAGAACCGAGCCAGGAGGATCTTAAAGGCGTGTGGGGGGAACAGCCTGGGTGAGCCCTTAAATGGGATGTGCCTGGGATGGGGGGGGTGGGGAGGGGTTACTTGTATATGTCATATTGGAGGTGATAAAAGGCTGTAGGCTAAATTGTGCATGTTAATGACTAACATAACAAATTCTGGGTAATCTTCCCAGAAGAGGAAAGCTGATTATTACATCCTTGGTTTTGCTTAGGTTAACTTTTTGTATTCAAAGATAATTGTTTTAGGTAAAGTCTTCCTTAGGTTTCATTGGGTAGATGACTAAAGTGTTGTTTCATGGAGCTTGGATTTTACCACCTTGGGCAGGTTCTGTAAATAGCTTTCATTTGTCAATGGCCCTAAGAAGATTGAAGGCATTTAGCTATTAGCTTTGGGAATAGGCCGGACTGAGTATATCTTGAGCCTCACTTAAATTTTCCATTTCACTGAGTTTGAAGTTCGTCCCACCCCAGGGCCACTCATGACCTGCTTTCTGTTTCATCCTTATTGAGAAAGTCAGTCTGCAGGAGGGCCTGGGAATTCTCTATACCACAAGTAGAGGGCAAGGAATTTGGCTCCTTGAGCTGTTGGGGTGAAAATGATACTCTTTTCCCTACTGGGAAAAAAGTGCATAACCAGCCAGTGCCTCACATGGGAGGCTGATGTCCAGCTTCTGAGGTCTTGGGAATTTGTTGTCTTTTTTCCCCCCCTGCTCTGGCCCGTCTTAGTGAAAGACCCTGCAGATATGTGTGAAACCAAAGCCTGCCCTATTCCCTCTGCCCAGGTGTTCTCCAACTTCCTCTTTCAGAGTGGAGTAGAAGCAGCAGGGAAAAGAAGCCCAGAATCCAGGTGTTTCTCCACAAGCATGATATCAACCAGGACATTCAGGAGGACTGAGCTTTCTTGCTGTTTGAATATGAGCTGCAGTCTCTCTGCATTCCCACCTTCCATTCTTCTCATTACCTTTTATTACCAGCTTCTCCATTTGCCCTCTGATCCTCAGACTGGCTAGACCTTGTCTTTTACATTCACTGTCCTTGCGGAAGTAGCCTGGCCCTTGTGTTTTCTCCCATTCCCTTCCATTCTGCATTGTCCTGACCCCTTCAGCATTGTCCTGACCTTGAATGCTGATATCCAGACCACAGGCTGGGGAAAAACCTACTTCAAGGCCCTGGGTCGTGGAAAAACTGTGCCTTCTCTTTCTTTAGTATCCTGCAGGCATCCCTGACTACAAAGGAACTTGGTGAAGGTCAAGTTACCCTGTGCGTCAGAACTCCCTAGGGGGTCCCTGTGGAACTCCAGGGGTGCTTCTCGGGGTCCCCTTGAAATGCTGTACAAGATGTTTGTTTTTTCTTTCTTACAGATGTGTGTTCTGGGTCTGTAGAGTAGTAACTCTGTGCAGAGATATTTTCCCCAAATAGGAACACATCTGTACTCCCTTTCTGCCTACTCTTCCATCTGTCACAGCATGTCTTTTACCACTTGAGGTTTTCTTGCAAGGGAAACAGAAGTTTGTCCTTATTTATAGAATTTAGTGACACATTCCTCTGCCCTTCCTCATTTCACAGACAAGGATCTCAAGAACCTGGAGAGGGTCACTGATTGGACCTCTATTCACTACCCATAGGTAGTGAATAACAAGAGGCTAGATTTGAGCTAGGGTCTTCTGGCTACAAACCTGTCCACTCAATCATGCTGCCACCCTAATTAAGTAAATATCACGGGCTTGTTGTGTAAAAACCACTGTGGTAGGTGCTGAGGAGATAGAATAATACAAAGCTAAGATGTGGAGCTTGCCCTTAGGGAGTTCACAATCTATTAGAGGGAAGAAAAATACCCTGGCAACTGGAATGCATATGTGTAGATGATCAGTGTAAACATTCAGTGAGAGCCAGAAAGACAGGATTATTCCAGGAATGGAAATATAGTATAAGCAAAGCCTCAGAAATGGAAAAATACAAGGAATCTTCAGAGAAAAGGAGTAGTCTAGTTTGTCTGGAACATGATGGCCAATAAGACTGGAAGGTAAAGTTAGGGTATCACTATGTTTGTCATGGGCCTTGAATGCCAGGAATTTAAACAGTAGGCAGTTTGGAGCCATTGCTGGATTTTGAGTAGAGGAGTGACATGACACATTTGGAAGATTATTCTGACAATGTATAAAGCATGAATTAGGAGAGAGGGGCAGCAGATTGTGCAGTGGATAGAGCACTGCACTTGAGGTCAGGAAGACTCATCTTTCTGAGTTCAAATCTGGCTTCAGACACTTCCTAGCTATGTGACCCTGGGCAAGTCACTTAACCCTGTTTGCTTCAGTTTCCTCATCTGTTAAATGAACTGGAGAAGGAAATGGCAAACCGCTCCAGCATCTTTGCCAAGAAAACCCCAAATGGGGTTAGGAAGAGTTGGACATGAATGAAAAGGCTGGATGACAAAGAGTAGAGAGAGGAGAGGTGAGAAGACCCCTATAAGAGACTGTTGGAAGAGTCCAGGTTGCATGTTTGTTTCACTGAGCCATACTTGTTGGAAGAAAGTGATTTTGCTCAGTGCCTGAACTCCAGTTTTTGAAATGGCTTTTTCCAGAGCTATACTAGCCTCCTAGGTTGGAGGGAACTAGAGGGGAAGTAGGATGAGAAGGATGATCCATGTCTGTCTGTGAGCAGATTCTGCCCATAGAAGAATTTACCCGTCTAACCACAGAGCTTTAGTTATGGCAGCACAGCACAGAGGTATCAGAAAGAACACTGGATTTGAGATCAGGGGACTTGGAAGGAAGAAGGCAAACATTTATTATTATTAAGTGCTTACTAGATACCAGTCAATGTGCTAAATACTGGGGATGTACATAGAAGCAAAAAGAAAAAAAAAATTCCCTGCCCTCAAGGAGCTTACATTTTAATAGGGAGAGACCACTCACAAAAGGGAGCTAAAATGGTATGGGGTGGGGTAGAGAAGGAATGAAGGTATGGGCTGCATGATGTTGAAGTCCAGAAAGTCAGGAATAGGTATTGAAGGAGAATGAGCAGGCTGGCCTGGTCCCTTCCTGAAACGGAAGCTCCAGGAGCAACTTGCTAATGGGAGAATGGAAGACTGGCCTTACAGAGGGATATTCCATGATGAGTAGGCCACAGGGGAGTATCATGTTTCGGGGGAGGAAGCCCGAGATGCTGAGGGAAGCTCTAAGGTGAGATAGCCGTAGAGGAATGATTTTTGAAGACCAGAAAGTCAGAAACAGGGCAAAGAAGGGGATGAAGGCAGGCTGGCCCAGTTCCTTCACAAAAAATAGCAGTTCTAGTTACTGTGTGACAATGAGCAAGTCACTTTTTTGTGGTCCTCAATTTCCTCCCTTATAAAATGAGAGGGTTTGGGCCAGCTGATCTCTTAGAGTCCCTTTTAGCTCTTCTATCCCATTTTCCTATGTTAACTGTTTAACTTAGGCTTATCAGCCTGGAGACTCTTGGATCAAGACAAATGGGAAATTTATTGATGTCTTCATCTATTGTTGGACAGTTGTCCCTGTACCTGGTGCCGTGTGCTGATTGAGCCAGGCTTATGACTCTTTTCTGTGGGGACAAAGGATATATTTTTACAAAGCCTGTGTTTTTCATTTCTCTCCAGTAAAAACTTTTTCCTTCTTTGTATGAAGAACGGATCAGTCCTGTATTTGACCTTCAGTTGGTCCTTGGCTCAACACCTGTAATTAAAGACATAAAAGCAAGCCAGTCTAAGAAGCCAGCGTGGCTTAATAATAGTTGACACTTACATAAGGCTTTAGAGTACACACAGTGATTTCATAGTTATTGCTTTTGAGCCATACAACAACCTTATGAGGTGGGTCAGCATTCTACAGGACATCTACAGGATATATAAATACACATATACATATTTTTCCCCATTTACATGTTAAAACAATTTTTTTTTAAAGTTGAGTTCCAAATTCTATCCCTCCCTCCCTTCCTTCCTCCCTCTCTGATATGGTAAGCAATCAGATGTAGGTTATACATATACAGTCATATAAAATGTTTCCATATTAGTCATTTTGTACAAGAAGACTCAAATAAAAGAAAAAGAATGAAAGAAAGTGAAATAGCATGCTTCAGTCTACATCCAACCAATATTAGTTCTTTCACTGGAGGCAGATAGTATGCTTCATCATCAGTCCTTCGGGATTGTCTTAGGTCATTGTATTGAGAATAGCTAAGTCATTCACAGTTTATCATACAATGTTGCTGTTACTGTGTATAATGTTCTCCTGGTTCAGTTCACATCACTATGTATCAGTTCATGTAAATCTTTTCAGGTTTTTCTGAAATCTTGCTGGTCATTTCTTACAGCACAATAATATTTCATTACAATCATATACCACAACTTGTTCAGCTGTTCCCCAATTGATGGGCATCCCTTTGACTTAACCACCACAAAAAAAGCTGCTATATATTTTTGTACAAATAAGTCCTTCCCCTACCCCCCCCCTTTTGTGTGCGTGTGTGTGTCTTTAGGATATAGACCTAGTAGTGGTATTGCTGGATCAAAGGGTATATGCACAAGGTCCCCATTTTTAAAATGAGAAAACTAATGCCCAGAAATATTTAAATAACTTTCTCCTGTTTACGTGGCCAGTAAGTACCAGAGGCAGTATTTGAACCCAGACTTCTTAAGTATACCAGTCTTGGACTTCTCTCCATTTTTTTTTCAAGTTGCCACTCCAAAAAAAGCATTGGCCTTATTTATAATCTGAAGGCCATGGTTCTAATCTTGGCTATGGTTCTTATTACCTTTGTGATTGGGAGCAAGTTATATCATCATTGGTTATAGAACTGGAAGGGGCTTTGCAGATGATCAAGTTACTTTATTCTTTCTAGGCCTCTTTGTTCTTCCCTATTTCACAAAGGGGGATAACAGTACATGTACTCCACACTTTGGTGAGTTGTGAAAAAAGCACTTTTTAAGCCTAAGGCCCCTAGAAATATGTGATGTTATGAGAGTAATAGGATAAGAGCTAGGCACTAGACCTGTGATTCCTTTGATATAGGGAGGGGCTGAAGTCTACCTGCTAAAACAAAGCGAAGAACTATATGAACACAAATAAAGTCAGATCTAAATAATTGGAAAAATATCAGTTGCTCATGGGAGACTGAGCTAACGTAATAAAAATGACACTTCTACTTAAGTTAATTTACTTATTCAGCGCCATACCAAACTACTGAAAAATTATTTTATAGAGCTAGAAAAAACAATAACAAAATTCATCTGGAAGAATAAAAAGTCCAGAATATCAAGGGAACTAATGAAAAGAAATGCAAGGGAAGGTGGCCTAGCTATACTAGATCTTAAATTATAAAGCAGCAATTATCAAAACTATTTGGTACTGGCTAAGAAATAGAGTGGTGGATCAATGGAATAGGTTGAGGAACAGGTGTAAGATGCAGTAGTCAATGACTATAGTAATCTACTATTTCGTAAATCCAAAGATTCCAGCATTTGGGATAAGAAATCACTATTTAACAAAAACTGCTTAGAAAACTGGAAAAATGTATGGCAGAAACTGGGCATAGACCAACATCTTATACCTATACCAAGATAAAGTCAAAATGGGTTCATGATTTAGATATAAAGACTGATACTATAAGCAAACTAGAAGAGCAAGGAATAGTTTACCTTTCACATCTATGGAGAAAGGAAGAATTTATGACCAAACAAGAGGTATAGAACATTATGAAATACAAAATGGATAATTTTGATTACATTAAATTGAAAAGTTTTTGCACAAAGCCAATGCATCCAAGATTAGGAGGGAAGCAGAAAACTGGGAAAGAATTTTTACAACCAGTGTCTCTGATAAAGGCCTCGTTTCTAAAATATATAGAGAACTGAGTCAAATTTATAAGACTATAAGTCATTCCCCAATTGATAAATCTCCAAAGAATATGAATAGGCAGTTTTCAGAGGAAGAAACTAAAGCTATCTATAGTCATATAAAAAAATGCTCTAAATCACTATTGATTAGAAAAATGGAAATCAAAACAACTCCGAGGTAACATATCACACCTATCAGATTGGCTAACATGACAAAACAGGAAAATGATAAATGTTGGAGATGTGGGAAAATTGGAACACTAATGCATTGGTGGTGGAGTTGTGAAATGATCCAACCATTTTGGATAGCAATTTGGAACTATGCCCAGAAGGCTATAAAATTGTGCATACCCTTTGACCCAGCAATAGCACTTCTAGGTCTATATCCCAAAGAGATTATAAGGGGAAAAGGACCCACATGTACAAAAATATTTATAGCAGCTCTTTTTATGGCGGCAAAGAATTGGAAATTGAGAGGATGTCCATCAAATGGGGAATGGCTGAACAAGTTGTGGTATATGAATGTAATGGAATACTATTGTGCTATAAGAAATGATGAGTAGGCAGACTTCAAAAAAACCTGGAAAGATTTACATGTACTGATGCTGAGTGAAGTGTGCAGAACCCAGAGAACATTGTACACAGTAACAGCCACACTGTGCGGTAACTGACTTTGATAGACTTAACCCGTCTCAGCAATGCAAGGATCTAAGACAACTCCAAAAGACTCATGATGGAAAATGCTATCCACATCCAAAGAAAGAAATGCAGACAGAAGCATACTGTTTGCTCTCCATTTCCTTTGTTGTTTTATTTTATTGCATCATTCCTGTGGTCCCTCGCATTTGTTCTAATTGTTCCTTACATCATGACTAATGGGAAAATATGCTTAATGTGAATGTATAAGTAGAGCCTATATCCTTTTTTGGGGGAGGGAGGAGGCGTAGGGGGGGAGAAAATGTAAAACTCAAAATCTTATGGAAGTGAATGTTGAAAACTAAAAATAAAAATTACTAACAAAAAAAAAAACAAAAACGGTAGGAGGAGCTCCCAGTCAGCAGACAGTCTCACTGAGTTCCTTAGATTTAACTCACAGTGGGGGATTGGGGGTGGGGGTTGCTTGACTTGCCCACAGTTCTGCTTGTATATGTCAAAGGAGGGGATTGGATCTAGAGCTTCCTGGCTCCAAGGCCAATTCTTTCCCCGGTGTGCTGTTCTGCCTTTTCTATATCATGCTGATAAAGTAATATATTACTTATTGTGTGTTAGAAGAACACTTTGGACCACATGAGTACTATCTTTTAATACCATAGAAACTCCTAACATGTATGGCTATCTAAGGGCATGTAAACTCTTTAGGACAAAGATTAGAAACAACCTTTCTTCCTCTCCCAGAGCTAATAAACAGAACTGACCCAACCAGTCAGTGTCTCCACTGGCCACTATACTACCTGCCGGGCACTGTTGTAGATGCTGGGGGTTATAGGAATAGGAGAAGATAGAAAATCTGCCTTCGGGGAGCTTATGGGTTAGTCGAGGTGATGAGACTAGTACCCATCATGTGGCAATACTGTCAAAAAATGATTTTGGACTGAATCTGTGATTTCTTTGTTATGGGGGATTCCCCAGGGGAAGGAGCTCCCTCTCTCAGTGCAGATCTGCAAGAGTACTGCAGTTTATGGTTTTAGAGACTTGTTCCTCTGAGGTTAAGTGACTTGCTTGGAATCACACAGGCAGTGTCAAAGGGCAGACTTGACCCTCTTTGTGCAGGCTGCTTACCAGCAGATTCGGTTCCTTACATCTGAATTTACAGATTTTGCACCATGCCAGTCTGACTCCCAGGGGTTAGGCCAAATAAAAACCCAATCATTGGCTTCCCCCTCCTCCCCACCCCAGTAGAATGTAAATTCCTTGAGGGTAAGGACTGTTCAACTTTTATCTTTGTGTCTCTATGCTCTTATGTGTCTCTATTCAATTGATTAGAAAACAATAGAGGGCAATTTATATTGTGTTTTTATCCCAAGAAAAGGTAAATATGGCAGGTATTATCCCCAAATTTGTAGGTGAAAATATTAGGGCCTAGAGATTTACCTGGGGTCACTCAGCCAGTTGGGTGGGTGTGGGAGGGTCAAGACTAGAACTTGTGGTCTTGACCACTAGACCTTTGCTTTTTCCATTCAACCACTAAGGTCTAGTTTGTAGCGGCCCAGACATGCAGTGCTTTCAGGGTGGTGGGCGTGCCTGGGTCATAGCATTTGGTGGTTGTCTTCCAGGGGCTTACAGTGCCAGCCAGGGTGTCAACTGCATCCGTGAAGATGTGGCGGCATACATCGAGAGGAGAGATGGCGGTGTGCCTGCAGACCCAGACAACATTTACCTAACGACTGGAGCTAGTGATGGCATTTCTGTAGGTGCTGGCCTCGTTTCTAAGTGTGTGTTGGGAGGAGGGAGAGGGAACAAGGGAGGCTAACAGGAGAGAAAAGAAACTATCTACCCACCTACACAACCTGTCCCAACAGCCTTACAAATGAGAATGAAGAGTTTGAGGACTTGTTAACTCATTGAAAGACAGCATAGTGCAGTGAAAAAGGCCTTAGACCCAGGAAGAACTGGGTTCACAACCTCACTCAGACACTTAACTAGATGTTTAACCTGAGTGTTGAGGTTTAGGGGTGCTGGGACCCCAAAATCACAACATGTGGGTTCTGCCAGAAAGAATTCGACCCAAACCTACTTTCAGCCAAAGACAAGGTTTATTAGAACACCCACCATATTGAGCAGACTCTTAAGGAGTCTGAACATCAATGAGCTATTGTCTAGATTATAAGAATCTGAGCACCTTAATGGAGACACTAAGATGGAGGTCTATCTGGACCTTATATACAGAAAGACTGTGGGAGGGATCTAGGAGTGGCCAAGCAGTGGGGGGGGTGGTGGAAGGGACAGGGACTGTGAGGTAATAGAATGCCAGGGACCTGGACCTCGAGGGTAAGGGAGAATGGAGCCTAGTGGGAAGTGGCCGAGAGGTAAGACAATGGAGGGGTAGGCTAGGTTAAAGGTAACAGAGAATTGGGAGATTTGTAGCCGCAATGAAAGGCCAGTTGATGGAATTATAGCCTCAGGTGAATGCCAAAGATTTGGCCATGTGGGAAAGTCCAGGGTTTTTCCTTTCTGGGGTCCAGATCCCAACCCCATCACTAGGTAAGTCCCTTAATTCACTTTTCTGACCCTCAATTTCCTTATCTGTAAAATGGGAGTGATAATGGTACCTACTTCACAGGAGTTGTAAGGCTCAAATGATCTCATAAATCACAGAGGCTTTCTAGTCCAACTCCCTCATTCTGTGAATGAATTAGAAAACTGGTTAAGGAGGTTCTAAGTGTAGGATATATTTATTCTCATTTTGCAAACTTTAGAGCACTCTATAAATGTCAGTGATTTATTACTTAGACAATAAGTAAAAATGCATTGATACAACTTTACTTGCTGTTGTCCAATTTTTTTTTCCCCTGCTTTATAAATTGCTACTTCCATGCATCTTTAAAGTCCATACCAGAACTAGGTCCCCAGGGGAGAGAAGAGAACCACAGGCCACAGAATGTTAGAGGTGGAATGGCTTTAAGAGATTATCCAGTCCCAGCAATAAATCAGCAAGCCTTTATTAAGTAGCTACCTCCTGTGGTCCAGGCACTGCGCTAAGTGCTGAGGATGGAAAGACAGAAGTGACCTGCTTTTGTAGCTGTTCTGGCAAGTCACCCAATCTCTCTGTACCTCACTTTTCTCATCTGTGAAGTAAGGGTGGCACTTGGCTTCCACAGATTCCAGCTCTTGGTCCTCCGGTAATTCTTTGGTGGGGGCATTGGCCAGATAGGCTATACAGATGGAAAGTGAAAACAAAAGGAGGAAATACTTTTTCTTCTAGTCTCTCTACCTTTGGAATTGCAGAGACATAGCTTTCTCTTAAGGGGCTGGACAGAGGGCAGGGTAGAACCTACTCCTTAGGCACCACCCTCACAGAAGAAAAACCGTGTTTAAGACACTGTACCTCACCCATTCCCATCCTCCTTCACCAGACTGTCAGTGATTCCCAGGCTCATTTGAATCTGGGGTTGTTTGAAAACCCCCATTCAAGTTTAACCTACTTTTTATTATTGCTCAGTCGTTTTCAGTCATGACCAACTCTTCATGACCCCATTTGGGGTTTTCTTGGTAAAGACACTAGAGTGTTTGCCCTTTCCTTCTCCAGCTCATTTTACAGATGAGGAAACTGAGGCAAACATGGTTAAGTGACTTGCCTGGAGTCACACAGCTAATAAATGTCTGAGGCCAGATTTGAACTCAGGAAGATGAGGCTTCCTGACTGCAGGATCAGCTCTCTCTCCACTGCGCCACCTAACCGCCCTAACCTACTTTGTATATTTATAAAAAATTATAAAAAATGATTGTCAACAAAATTCTCTAGAAGCCCAGAGCCCCCGGCTAAGATAATGCCCCTGGCATTTTAGATGGAGGTTCAAGCCTCTGTCCTGTTTTTTTCTGTGTACCTAGCTGCCTCTAGGCAGTTGGTGGCACAGCCGTAGAGCCATCCTGCAGTCAGGAAGACCTGAGTTCATTTTAACTTCAGATACTTATTAGCTGTGTGATCCTGGGCAAGTCACTTAACCTCCGGCTGACTCCATTTCCTCATCTGTAAAATGGGGTTAATAGTAGTACCTACCTCCCAGAGTTGTGAGAATCAAATGAGGTAATATTTGATGAGTGTCTGGCACTTAGTAGGCTCTTAATAAGGGCTTGTTTCCTTCCTTCCTTTCCGCTGTACCATGGAGAGTGGGATACTCATTAGGTGATATCTAGAATCTAGGATTTGAAGGGACTTGTCACAGGGAGGCTGTTCATACCCTCAGAGTCTAGAGATGGAAACTGTTCCCCTTTTTCTGAGGCTTTCTTTGTCTTTTGTTCTCTTTGTCTGAAAAGGAGGAGGAAGAACGCTAGGTGTTTGGATGGTTGGAGAGGTTTCGTTCTCATTTCCTTTGCTAGGCTTTGATCTTTATCCTCTTGTGAGGGAGGCCGGCAATATTATTTTCCCCACTTGACACATGATTAAACTGATAAGCAGAGAGGTCACTTGCCATGGGTCACAGAGCAGGTGTATGGCAGAACTAGGGCCTAGAATCCAGATTTCCTGAAATTCTTTTAAGAATGTTAGAGAAAAAAAAGAAATGTTATAGTGAGGGAGGCCCAGAGAGGCTTTCCAGTGATGATAAAGCAAGTGTGTGCCCAAGCCAGAACAAGAACCCATGGCTTCTGGTTTGGGCTTATTTTTTAACTCTGCTGTCAGGAATATCCTGTTTCATCCAAGATGTTTTGAGTAGACAGTGACAAGGAAGACAGCTGTCTGCAGTAATTCGGTGTCAAGCATAGCCCTTTGATAGATTGTGTTCATGAAGTTCCAACTCTACATAGTCAATATGGGAAGGAACAAAAGAGAACACAGGCCTGTGTACGGAGTGGGAGGTTGTTCCACTAGGAATGTGGTTTTGGCTTCTTAACTGAATGAATTATCTACCCCCTGGAAGACCCTGCATTAGGGATTTTTCTCCCACATGGTTTCAGCATGAGTCTTACACCCGCATTGCCCACATTGCTCTCTGGCTTGAAAAACAGAGATTATAGTTCCCTCTAGTGGATTAGGATGGTAGTGCTGTGGAGGGGGAGGCAGGGTTATTTTTCCATTTGAGAGCATAAGGTTTTAAGTGGGAAGGAACCTTAGAAATTATCCAGTGGTGTCCATTCCCCACTCATTTTATAGATGGGGCCAGAGAGGTGAAGTAATTTATTCCAGGTGGCAAACATCAAAGGTAGGACTTGAATCCAAGTCTTACAGAACCACAGAGTTTGAAGGGACCTAAAAGGCTGTCTGCGCCTGCCTATCCCTCATAAAGAATCCCTTCTGTTTCAGAATCAAATGTAATAATATAGGCAATGTATTTTGCAAGCCTTGAAGCACTTTATAAATGCTTTTGCTATTAAGAGGAAGTTTTTCCTTCTACAGGGACTGAGTATGCCACTTTTACTGTGAAGCCAAGGCTTTTTTCATTTGTCTTTTCATGGGTTCTGAAAGGGAAAAGGTCAACCCAAGTCCTAAGGGTTTCCTGGATGGAGTTGAATTAGATGATTTCCAAAGACCCTTTTATCTCTAGTAGTCTGTGAGCTGTGTATAGTCCTAGGCGTTGTGTAGGAGTGTTAGAGGTTTCTTTCACAACCGGAACAAAATTATAGTTTGGTTGGTTGGCCTATGTTTGTGAAAGGTAACCAGGACTAGGTGGGTGATGAAAAAAGCCTAATTCAACTTCCCCCTCCCTTTCCCCCTTGTAGACAATTCTAAAGATTCTGGTGTCTGGTGGAGGAAAGTCCCGGACTGGAGTGTTGATCCCCATCCCCCAGTACCCTCTGTACTCAGCTGTCATTTCGGAGCTGGATGCCATCCAGGTGAACTATTACCTGGATGAAGAAAACTACTGGGCTCTGGATGTAAATGAGCTCCGACGTGCAGTGACTGAAGCCAAGGAGTACTGTAACCCCAAAGTCCTCTGCATCATCAATCCTGGGAACCCTACAGGTAAATGGTGTTGAAGAAATCACCCAGACAGCCGTGATTTTCAGCTTAATCAAAACATATCTTTACTTCTTATGGGCATTATGATGAGGTCTAGAGGTTAGGAGTGCTGGAACCCCAAGATCATGACACACGGGACCTGCCCGAAGGAATTCCGACCCAAGCCTTCTTTCAGCCAAAGACAAGGTTTATTAAAGATCCGCCATATTGGCCAGACTCTTAAGGAATCTGAGCACCTGTGAGCTAGTGGCCAGATAGTAAAAATCTCAGCAGTGGCTAGATTATAAGAATCAGAGCAGTGGCTAGAATTTAGGAATCTGAGCATCTTAATGGAGATGAGATGGACCTTATATACAGAAAGACTATGGGAGGGATCTAGGAGTGGCCAAGTAGTCTATGAGGTAATAGAACTTCAGGGGTGGCCGAGGGAGAATGGAGCCTAGGTAGGATTAAGGGTGGGGGATGATAGAGGGACACATAGGGAGGTCTAGGCTAGGTTAAGGGTAATAGATTGAGCATAGCCACAATTAAAGGCCAGTTGATGGGATTATAGCCTCAGGGGAACACCAGAGATTTGGCCATGTGGGAAAGTCCAGGGTTTTTCTTTTTTGGGGTCTAGATCCCATCCTCATCATTAATAGATCAAGTATTCAACCCAGTCTAAGTGCTATGTGAGGTTAAACATTTTTATACTCTTTGAGGGAAGGGGGAAATCAAATGAGGGTCTCAGGATTAGTGGAGGTGTCTGAAACAGAACAGATAATGGTGGGGTATGACGTAGAATCACGGAGGCCCAGCAGCCATAGACAGCAGGTTATGAAGGCATTTCCATTGTTCCCTGTGGAGGTAGCAGAGTTTCCCAGAAGGGATTTCCTCGTGGTAGTGTTTAATTCACTGATAGTCCTTTGTGCTGCTACTAAGCTTCTCAGAGTCTAACAGCAGAACAGTAGGCCTAGAATCCTGATGCCACAGGAGGTTCCTTTTATTTTACCAAACTGGAGTTTGGAGTGAGTAGGGTAATAATTATAGTAACTCACAGCCTAGAAGGGCAGTATGAGGTTATGAATCATGTAGAGAGCTATCCTCAGAGTCAAGGTGACCTACCTGGCTTCAAGTCCTGTCTTGGAAACATACTAGCTGTGTGCACGTCCCATGACCTCTCAGGGGCTGGGGCAACTCTCCAATGCTCTAAGTTCAGAAGAGTGGCTGGCTAATCTTCATCGGTGGAGAGAATTTTCTCTCACTAATGAAATCATAGGTCTGTGCTCCCCCCCCAAAAGCTTATATTATATGTCATTTTATAATTTATACTTTTTTTAATGCAATTTATACTTTTTTAGCACCTACTGTGTATGAAGTCAATAACAGCTATGTACTAGATACTATACCTTGCTGCCTCTCACATCTCATTTTACACTTGAGCAAACTAAGATTCAGAGGGTCTCAATGTCTTTTCCAGGACCATATAACTGAGTAAGTAGGAGAATTGGGTTTTAAACCCAAGTACTCTTGACTCCAGATCTACTGTTTGATCTTGTGAGGTAGGCAGTGCAACTATTATTCTCATTTTACTGATGAGGAATCTGTAGTATAGAGAGATTAAGTGATTTTTAAAAATCCATCCTGACTTACAATGCACATTTCTAGAGCTCTTTATAGTTTACTGAAAGCCCTTTCCTCAAACAAGCACATGTGATATGTGGTATAGAAATTGGATTCATTTATTTTTTGTTTGTTTGTTTTTGCTAAGCAGTGGGTTTAAGTGACTTGCCCAAGGTCACGATAGTGGATTCATTTTGCAGATGAAGACACTAAAAAAAATTTTTTTAACATTAATTAGGCACCTACTCTGTGCCAGGCACTGTGCTGAGCTTTGGAGATACAAAAAGAAGCAACAGACAGTCCCTACCTTCAAAGAGCTTGCGATCTAATGGGAGAGGGGACACACAATATGCAAGCAAATACATATATAAAGCAAGCTGTATACAGGATAACTAGGAAATAATTAACAGAAGGAAGGCACTGGAATTAAGAGGGGTTGGGGAAGACTTCCTATAGAAGGTGGGAAGTTAGTTGGGACTTAAATTCACCAAGGCCGGATGACTTCTCCAGGGTCAGATAGACCATTACATTAGTACATGTTGGAACCAACAAGGGGATACCTTCTTTTGATGAGGCTTCTGTATGCTCATTAAGTCACTATGAGCAAATCAATGGGGAAGTTTTTCAGGGAAAGGTTGTGGTTTTGAGACTAGTCTCCTGCCTGCCTCTACAAACAGTTAACTAATTGGAGGTAGTTTAAGCAGAAACTTATCTATTAAGGTATAATCTAATTGACTGTTTAAAAGATTGACATGCTTTTCCTACCATTTTCAAATTCTTATTTGTTTTTTATGAGCCAAGGTATGTGTCCCCTCCTCGGTCCAGAACGTAGTGTGTGTTTTGAGATCTGAGTAAGAAATGCCATGTGACTTGTCTCATTTCCAAAGAGGTGGAGGACTACAGGTGCAGAATGTTGCATAACCAGTCTGATGTGTTTGCTATATTGGTGGGTTTTGTGTAACATTTGCCCCCCCTCAGTATTACAGGAATGTTTAGCTGTAAGGGTGAAAGGGGGTAGAGGAGGACTTGCCATTTGGAAGAGAATCAGATTTTTCATGGGTTGAAAAGCAACATGAATAGTGTATATTTTTCTTTTGTTGTTGTTTTAAACAACAGTGTTATACACAACACTGCCTGAGCCTGTCCTGGCTGCTAGCTTCACATTCCTTTTATTCAGCCTGAAAAATCCATTAAATGAGCACTGTTCCCTTTCCCTTTGGAGATAAAATGTGCAGCAGCTGAAATGTGTCTGAGTTCATTCTGGAATCTTTTTTTTCTGGGGCATAAATTGTTGCTCAGATGGTGAAAACACCATTTGAATTCCTGGTGGACACTACTCTTTTATCATTCTAAAGTTTTGGGGTTTGGTGTGTTTTTTCTTTTTGGTGGGCTGTTGTTTTGTCACTACAGTCTATAACAAAAGCTGTTAAAGCAAAACTGATTGGTTGTTATAATTAACTTTTGTTTCATTTTGGTTTCATTTACATTATGGTCTTTTTGTTTATTGTTCTTTCTCCCCAGTCAGTCCATACTAGTCTTCCTGTGTTTCTCTGAATTCCTCACACTGGTCATTTCTTATGGCACAATAAATCCCCTACCTTTCATATGCCACAGTTTATTCAGTCATTTATCTATTGATGGACACCCACTTGGTTTCCAGTTCTTTGCTCCCACAAAAAGCTATGTTGCAGTTGCTTTTCACCAATTTACTTCGGAAAATACTTTCCTTATCCACAGCTACCTGAAAGGGAGAAAAAAAAATCACATGAGTTTGTAAAGAGATTCTGGGAATATTAATAATAATAATACCTAATATTTACATAGCCATTACTATGTGCTAAGGACTTGACAAATATTTGGTCTCTATTTTTTTTATTATTATCATCCCCATTTTGCAGTCAAGAAAACTGAGAAAAACAGGCTAGATGTAGAAATGGGTTGTTCACTTGGTTTACGTTTAAAATGAAGATCACCTGTCAGTTAGGAGGAAGGATATGCTGGCCATATGTTTCTGTAGTTTTTTTTGTTTCTTTAGACAGTGGCCCCAAACAAGACCTTTCTATGCCCTTAAGCCTCAGAAACTATGCCCCCTGCCCCATCTGTAGTGTCTCAGTAAGGGCTTTGATTTTTCATAGCAACCCAAGCAACTTGAATTGCAACAAAATGAATATTGATGGGTTGTGGAAAGCCTGGGCTTTTCAAACTTTAAAAAGTTATACCTGATAAATAGCTTAGGTCAGGGGCAGGCAGTGGATAGAGCACCTCCTGGAGTCAGGAGGACCTGAGTTCAAATTCGGCCTTAATCACTTAACACTTAATAGCTGTGTGCCCCTGGGCAAGTCACTTAACCCCAATCACCTCACCAAACAAGCAAATGAATGAATGAATGAATGAATGAATGAAATAGGTCTAAGGTGCTAAGTCTAATCATGAAAAGCAAACAACACACCTATATGACTTCTGAGCACCTTTTAGAGTTGGAACACTCCCCTGTGGTAATACTATAGGCGGATTAGGGTGCAAATAAGGACTTAAAACTTTCAGAAGGGACTCCTGGATTGATGCCAAAACTCATAATGATCAGGGGGCTGTAATAATTTGTTCCTGATTATGGGTTGGTTTGTGGTTGCCTGGGCATAAGGGGATCCATATGACTTGGTGAGGCTTGACAAGAAGATAGCTGAGTTAATTTATTCATTTCCCTCAGTTTATTCCCCTCCTGCTGTTTGCGACATTTCTCCCTATTCCAAAAAAGTATATGACAGTCTAACTAGTAATTTACTCATCTGTCTGCTGTGGGGAGCTGTGCTCCAGCAGGTTAAGAAAGGTTGCTTTTTGGGGGCTCCTAAGGCATACCATCTAAGGCAAACCACACTGACTCTGGCATGATAGTGACTGGAGAGAGGAGGGTAGATCCAGGACATTGTCATAACTGGAAGAGTGTACAGAGGTTCTGGATGGAAAGCTGGGCCTGGTGCCAATATAAATAAATTTAAATTGATTTTTGGTTTTGTTTTCTTTTGCTGGGTGGGGTCCTTCCAGGTCAGGTCCAGAGCAGAAAATGCATTGAAGAAGTGATTCACTTTGCTTGGGAAGAGAAACTCTTCCTCTTGGCTGATGAGGTAAGAGAAGCCTGGACACTTTCTGTTTCTCAGACTGGTCCTGGGTGTGGAGCCACATAAAATAGTTATATGTGTACAGTACTTTCCAGCTTTCAGAGTATCTGACATCCATTATTTTGTGTTACTATTATGACAGCCTTTTGAAATAGGGAGGGCAGAGCTTCTTACCCCATTTCACAGATAAGGAAACTGAGGCTCAGAACTCTTATTTCTGCTAGCACTTTTATGGCCAATCAGTAAAAGTCCTTTCCTCACAACCACCCTGTGAGGGGGCTATCTGTGGTCACATGTATAATCCTGTGGTTAGAGGTATAACCCTAGGAGGGTTTCTGGCTCAAATTTAAGTTAAGTGGCTTGTCTGGTCACACAGCTTGTTAAGTGTCACAGCCAGGATTGGAACCCAGGTCCTCTGACCACCACGTTCCAGTATCTTTTCTGGACACCGGATTATCTCTTAGAAACTTAATGAATCGCTGGGTTGTTAGATAAAGTGGTAAAGAAGCCCAGGCTTCTGTGGTTTTATCAGTGTGTTCCCAAAGTCCCTTGTGTAACCAAAGAAATAGGCATCTCAAGTCTTCTTCCCTTCCCCCCAGGCTAGAAATACCACTGAGCTCTGGTGTTGTGTCTTTATGACACTTGACTTGGCCCCTTCAGGACTGGGTGTGAATGTTGGGTGGGCATCACAGTCTGTTATGGTGGCCTCCCACTTGGCCACGAGGCAGGTCCCACAGGAATGCTGCCCCAGCCTGCCTTGCCCGGACCCAGCCTCCACAGAGCTCAGTGGGGCCACCTTGGGCAAGCCCTTAACGCTCCCAGGACTCAGTTCTCTTATTTGTAAAATGAGGGAATCGGACTGGATGGTTCCTGGAGTCCCTTTCAGCTGCACAGCTATGATTGTGTGGTGTTTCCATCTTCAGACATATTTTATTTTATTTTTTCAATTAACAGACGTCTAACTTTTCCCTCCCCTTCACCCCCTTCCATCTCTCTTTGAAGAAAGAAATACAAAGCCCTTATAACAAATACGCATAACTAAGCAGAACAAATTCCCCAGCTGGCCCAGTCCAAAAGACATGCCTCAGTCTGTGCCCTAAGTCCATCAGACTTAGGAGGTGGGCGGCGTGTTCCATCTTGCGTCGTCTGGAATCATGGTTCCAGTTGACCAGAGTTCTTGAATCTTTCAGAAGTTGTTTGTCTGTAGAGTTTTGTTGTTATTGTATATAAGTTGTTCTGCTTCTGCTTATTTTAATTTACGAGAGTTCACACACAGACTTAACTTTGCTTCCCCTGGGTGGATTTCTCAGGTGTATCAGGACAACGTGTATCCTAAGGACTGCCAATTTCATTCCTTCAAGAAGGTTCTCTATGAGATGGGCCCAGAGTACTCAAGCAATGTGGAGCTTGCATCCTTCCACTCCACCTCCAAAGGCTACATGGGCGAGTATGTCAACATTGGCTTTTTTTTTTTTTTTTTTTTTTTTGCTGTTTGTTCAAGGATGTGGAGAAACTTAAATTCACCTCTACTGTCCTAAGGTTGACTCACTTGAACACAGGACAAATCAACTAATCGTGTGCTCCTGATAATTCAAGAAGTTGTATTTACTTTACAGATCTGTGATTCCATCAGTCTGAGCCCTCTCTTCGTTGCACATTGCAATACCATAGTCTTTCAGAGTTTTTGTGACCTGATAATGAGCCTCCCCAAACTTACATAGGCTTATCCTCAGACAGCAGACCTATAGGTCATCACTAGTCTGGTATTTCAGGCATTTCCAGGTTGGTAGTAGATACCAGGGCAGCTAGGTGGTACAGTATATAGAGTACCAAGCCTGGAGTAAGGAAGACTTACCTTCCTGAGTTGAAATTTGGCCTCAGAACTTACCAGCTGTGTGACCCTGGGCAAGTCATTTAACCCTGTGTGCCTCAGCTTCCTCTTCTGTAAAATGAGCTGGAGAAGGAAATGGCAAACCACTCCAATATCTCTGCCAAGAAAATTCCAAATGGGGTCACCAAGAGTTGAAACTGACTGAAATGACTGAACAATAACAACATTAAGTAGATACCAGAGCTTATTCTCTGCTGATGAAGCCATTGAGAATCCAAAATCCCCTCCACAATTCTGTGAGCCATCAAAGGAGGCTTTTAGTGAAGTGCTTTCCCTTCACTAATGAATGAATGAATGAAAAAGAATTTATTAAATGCTTACTATATGCCTGATTCTGTTCTGAGCTCTTGAGATACAAATATTAAAAAACAAGACAATACATGGCCTCAAGGTGCTTATATTCTAATGAAGGAAGACAACCCCGGTAAAGGAGTAGTAGCTCGGAAAGGTGTTTTGGACTGGGAAATCACGAGGACAGTGAGTAAAGTTGTAGAAAACTGCCTGACATACTTTTTAGGAATGGGAGTGTTGTTTTGATTACTGTTCCCAGAGCAAGAAGTAGAATGCAGGAGGAGAGATAGGTATGTGGACAGCAGCATGGCAGGAAGATGGCCAGAGTGCATCATGGAAGGCCCATGGGTAGATAGGACAAAGCTATCAAGAGCCTAGGGCCCTAAGGTGGGAGTTGGAGTGCCAGGTATTACCTCTTAAATTATAGCTATAAGAGGAAAAAAATACATGTACATGAGGATAAAATTCCATACTGCTGGAACTGAGGAATAGCTTTAGTAGATTCTGGAGACTAGACATATCCATGTGAGTGGAACATGTTAGCTGGAAACTGCCTAGCCTAGGGCAATATGGGGGTGGGGATCTCTGGGCTAGTGAGTACTAGGCCTCATCTTATAGCGTCTTGTCACAGGCAGTAGACAAATTCAACTAAAGAGTTATTAAGCACTTGCTCTGTGCAAGGCATAGTAGACAAATGCCCAAGCAGGTTTGCTTGACATGAATTCTGGCAGGCCATAGTGGGAACCCAAGATCTGGGACTGGAGAATGGAACGAGGACCTGGGTCCTGGAAGGACTGGTTTATAGAGCAGGGATTCAAGACATGGGAATGGGGGATCCAGTTACTAGAAACTTGGGGGTCCAGAATCAGGCAGGACCCAGCCGCAGAGATGATGACCCTAAGAACAGTGAGCTGTGTAGCCAAGAATCCTTATGTGTCCCTGCTGAAGGGCTCCACTTTCCCAAGACAGGGCGGAGGCTACAGGTGACTCTTTAGTGCCATTACCTGTAGAAACTGCAGAGCAGCCACGTCGAGGGGCCAGACCAGCCATTCTGTATTTACTCCCAGAAGTAGATTGGGCTGAAATGAGATTGTGTAGTAGAGCAGTCCTACACAGAAACCTTCGTGTCTGGAGCCCCAGCACAATTAAGCCACACTTGAAAGAAACCAGGCCATGGAAAGGAAGACCCAGACCCATGGCAGCTGTGAATCCTTTTGGCCGGTCGTGCTTCTGGCCACCGGACTGTACCTGGAGTGTAGGCAGAGGAGGGTAACCAAGATAGTAAGTGGACTACTGAGGATGGGTTGAAGAAAGTGGGGGTGCTTAGCTTTGGAGAAGAGAAAACTTAGAACAAGTTGGCAGAAGGCTTAGATGTGTTCTGCTTGACCCTGGGGGACAGAACAGGGGAGCGATGGTGGAATTCTGGAGAGAGGCAGGCTTGGACTCCATTGAAAGGAAAACTTCCTAGCATCGCTTGGCTTTCCAAAGATGGGGAAGGATACCTTGGAAAGCAGCAGATTTGAAGGAGGCTGTATGGCCACTTGTCTGGATGGTATGAGGGTCATTCTGAGTAGAGTTCTGGATTTGAAGTCAGCCAGTCCTGAGTTCAGATCCTGCCTCAGACACTTATGAGCTCTGTGACCATAGGCAAGTCACTTAACCTTTCTCAGTCTCGGTTTCTTCATCTATAAAATGGCCATAACACTAGCACATGGGTGGGGAGCCTGCGGCCTTGAGGCCACGTGTAGCCCTCTAGGTCCTCAAATGCAGCCCTTTGACTGAATCCAAACTTCGCAGAACACCCTTTAATAGAATCCCCTTGTACTAGCACCTACCTCACAGTGTTGTTTTGAGAATCAAATGAGACAGCTAATATTAAGTGCTTTGCAAACCTCCAAGTGCTATGTAAATGCTAGTATTGTTCGAAAATTAATACACACATGCAAAGTAAATCCCAGATAGGTTTGGGAGGGAAGGCAGCAGCAGCTGGGGGATCAGGAAAGATTTCGTGAAGAAGATGGTGCCTGAGCTGCATCATACAGGAAGAGAAGGATGCTGTGAGGCAAGAAAGGAGTGCGATCCTGGCATGAGGGTTGGCCAGTGCAAACATGGGAGGGAGGAATTGGAGTGTCATGAGTGAGGAACAGAGAGGAGGCCAGTTTGGACAGTCTCAGGGAGCTTACATTCTAACAGGAGAGACAGAATAAATACAAGGAGTCATTTAGGCTTAAAACTGCGCTCAGATTTTTGGGACACCCTATATAAAGAGAATAAATACAAAGTAGTTCAGTAGAAGGTTGTGTTCTAGCTACAAGGCTGTCTTAGCATGCTCTTGAGAACCCCTGGGAGTCAGAGATGGCTTTGGCTTTTTTGCAGGCTTGCCAGTTGGGAGCAGCAGCTGGATCATGGTGGATAGAATATGATGGGAAGGAGCTTGTGACATACGAGGTGGAGGAAAGAAGGGGACACAGCCCCCTGGGCTGCTTGTATTAGCAGAAGTTGTGTCTAGGGGCAGCTAGGTGGTGCAGTGGATAGAGCACCAGCCCTGAAGTCAGGAGGACCTGAGTTCAAATCCGGCCTCAGACCAAACACTTGACACTTACTAGCTATGTGACCCTGGGCAAGTCACTTAACCCCAATTGCCTCAAAAACAAACAAACAAAAAAAAACCCAGAAGTTGTGTTTACACCAGACTTCCATGTGATTTTAAGCTTCCTTCCCCTCAATGTTCCCCCTCCAAAAAAAAAAGTATTATTGATTTGAATAAATATTAAAACCCAGGTAGATAAGAGACCTACAGGGAAGAAGCTCCTTCTGACCCACCTTATATAATTTAAAACTAATGAGCAATGGCAGCTTCATTGTTGTCACAAATTGTAGCCTGTTACAGTCAGTTTATTATCCTAATAAACCTCAGATAATTAGGATGCTCAAGAATGGGCTCTTCTGGGCAGTTTCAACTCTTTTTACTTAAAAAATCTTTCAGGGACAGCCACATCACCTCCTGTTCCAGAAAGGTTAGTTGATACACCATAGTCGGGTCTGTCCCCATTCATTCTGAGTCTCAGGGTCTGCCCTCTGCACAATTAGTTGGCATCTTTCAGGCCTGTGGCTAGAGATGGAGGAAAATTAGGAGACTGGGCCAGATGTGGACTGACTTAGGATATCTCTCGGAAGATGGTTTTTAAAACCTAAAATTACCTGGACAGCATCTCTCGCATCTGGAGCCTTCTCTGTACTCAATAGTCCTCACTTTAGCTTGGGCCCTCGTCACTCCTTGCCTCGATTTTTGCAGTAACCCTCTCTCAGGTCTCTCCTCTCCTTCCGTCCTCCACACAGCTGCCCAAGGGATTTAACTTTAGCTCGGCTCTTACCATATCACACTCCTACTCAGGAAACTGGCGGCCCCCTATTGCCTCTGCAGTAAACTCTGAGCTCCTATTTAGCTTTTAAAGCCCTTCACAATCTGGCTCCAACTGATCTTTCAAGCCTCAATATGTACAATTTCTCCTTCCACACTCTGCAAACCAGCCATACTGACCTCTCAGCTGTTTCCACACATGACTCCCATCTCTGGCCTTCATGCCTTTGCCCTGGCTGTGCCCATGCTTAGAATGCACTCCCTTCTCGCCTCTGCCCCAGGGAATTCCCTTAGGGAGCAGCTCAGGCACCTCTTTCTATGTGAAACCTTTCCTTATCCCCCTCCCCACCTCCCAAACTCCTTTGTGTTTATTGTGTGTATACTCATGTATGTACTTGGTGTATCCCCAGTTCAAATGTAAACTCCATGAAATTATCCCCAGTGCCTGGCACTCCTTCTAAATGTTTGTCGACCGATTTATTAGAATAATAAATATGGAGGTAGGTGTTTAGGTTACACCTAAACTTGATTTCAGTCCATCAGGGCTTTCCCCTAACTTTTGCCCTCTTCTCCTTCCCTGGCTAGGTGTGGCTACCGAGGGGGCTACATGGAGGTGATCAACTTACATCCAGAGATTAAGGGACAGCTCGTCAAGATGCTCTCTGTCCGGCTCTGTCCCCCAGTGTCTGGACAGGCAGCCATGGACATTGTCGTGAACCCGCCTGTGCCTGGAGAGGAATCTTTTGAGCAGTTCAATAGGGTGAGTATAAATGGCCCCACTCACCTCTGGTGTCCTGACTATGTCCTGGTAGGCCAAGAGGATCCTCGAATGGGACCGTTAGGTATCTTAGAGCTCATCCGATGCAAACTCTTCATTGTGTAGGTAAGGAAACCAAGGACCAGAGAGAGGAAGTGATTTGCTCAAAGTCACACAAGGTAGTAAGTAGTAGAGCTGAGAATCCCTTCTTTTCTGACTGGGCCTGCTAGGGAGAGTGGTAGACTTGAAGTAAGTAAGACCTGAGTTCAGATTCTGCCTCAAGACACTTACAAGCTCTGTGACCCTGGACAAGTCACTTAACCTCTCTCTGCCTCAGTCTCCTCATCTGTAAAATGAGGGGATTAGACTTGATGGCCTCTTAAGGTTGATCCCACTTCCAGATATGTGATCCTGTGACCCCCAAATCCAGTCCTGTTCCCAAACTCCATTGCATTTGCTTTGGTTAGAGCAAGAGAGGCCATGGTCACGGCTTCCATCTTGGTATAGACTGGTTAGCTTTCTGTGGTAATAGAGCATTGATCCCCAGTCCCTGATCAGGCTTCTTGCAGATGTGCCTCCTAAGGATGAGCTTACCTTGTATGTGAAGGACTCAGTGCTATTCTGCACTCCTCTTCTTCCTGATCAGGGTTAGGGCAGCATCACTCTCCACTACCACTGGTACCCAAGTCTAGTGCTCTTCCCACTACACTGCACAGTCATAGGTCATGTTTTCCACCATCTCCCAAACCTCGTATACTCCTACTCTTAATTTCTAGAGCAGTTGGAAGCCGAAAGAGAATGACTTTTATTGAAAAAAATCCTTCTTTTGTATTCCTCCTTCACAGTGCCTAGCATAGAGCAGGGCATTGATGAAAAACTCTGGTTTATGTAGAGCATGGGCTCCTACCTTTTTGTGAGTCCATGAGCACTCTGGTGATGCTTATGGATCCCTTCTCAGAATGTTTTTAAATGCATAAAATAACATTCATAGGATTACAAAGGAAACCAATTATAACAATACAGTTTTTCTTAAGTTCATAGATCCTGGGTTACATCAAGTCATAATAGAGACTTGTTCTCTTTTAGGCTTCACAGAAAGTGAACCAGGTAGGCAGAGCCAGTAGGTTTTTCTTTTTTTGGTTGTTGTTGTTTTTTAATAAGGAAACGGGATGAGAGAGACGGAGTTCTTTGTCCAAGGCCATACAGTGATAGAGATGGGACTCAAAACCGGGTCTTCTGATATTTCAGTCATCAGCAGAGGGAACTGGGATGTTTAGTCTGTAGAAGATTCAGGCGAGACGCGTTAACTTGTTCATATTTGAAGGACTGGCATGTGGAGGAAAGATTAGTTTTGTTCTTTTTGAGGCAAAACCAGGAACAGTGGGCAGACATCCCAAACAAGTGACTTAAATTCTGTGGATTCTGGGATCAGTGGTGGTTGTTGAGAGACTCATCCTGCAGAATGGGCACATCTGGTTTTGCCAAAGTTTCCTAGTCTGGGTGGACATCCTGGGATGTCACTACGGGTACCTGGACAAGGCAACAGAAAATCATGAGTTTTATAGGAAGAGAGGCAGATTTGTAGGCATGTGCCATTGGTTTCCCATTCTCTGTCGTCAAAAGCAAGGAGATACTTAGGATTGGTTTGTGATTGGTTAGTGAATCAAATTGGGAGAGCCAGCCAGGGTATGTCCAGGGAGTGGAGGCATTTCCAAAGCAGAGGCAATCTCCTTCATGTGGTTCTTATGGGCCTCTGAGAGGTCAAAAATACCAGAAAGAGATTTTGGAACTATTACATGCTAGAAGAGATCAGACCTCAGAGCACAGTCCATTCAAATCCACTCCCAGTGGCGTCAGTGCTTTCCTGTGATGGGAACCCTGTATCCCTGGCTCTGCCCTTTGAGTCTGGAGGCTGGTTGCTATACTGAGAACCAGGAAGCTTTCCTCGGGGCATCATGGGCTGTTCCAGGAAAATATGGCAGTTTCATTTTCAGCTGCAGATCTGAGAAGAGGAGAGAAACATGGTTTTTCTGCCCAAATTCCAGAGCTAGGAGCAAGATGTGAGCATCCTGAGTGGAGCAGGATGAAGAAATAACTCTGCTTGTGAGTGGAGTGGAGCCGTGGGATGGAGAGGAAGAAAGTTTGACAGTAACCCACCTGGCCAGCACTGCCGCCTTCATTCTGCAGGACTTCTCAAGTCCGGGACACACGAAATCAAAAGACTTTGAGATCGAAGGAGTCTCAGAGGTCCTCTGCCAGTTCCCTCGTTTACACATAAGGAAACTGAGGCCTAAAGAGGGGAAATGACTTTGCCTCAAAGTCAAGTAGACCTTGAACAGAGCCAGGAATCAAACTGAAGTCTCCAGGATGCCCAAATCCTGTGCTCTTGTCACTGCCACACAGCCATATGTCGTGCTTTCATCACCTCCCAAACCTCATACTCACCTTCTCTGATTCCTAGAGCAGCTGGACAGCCCAGAGAATGACTTTCTTTGAAAGTAACAAGTGGCAAATGCATTCTGGTTTGGGTTCTCCACTAGGCGTCTCTGGGCTTGTTTCAGTTAGCTTCTTGGGTCCTCCCCCTACCTATTTTCCTTCTTTGTAAAATGGGGAGGGAGATATAACTAGATGATCTTAAAAGTTCGTTCTAGCTCTTAAACCTCAGGCAACCCTACAATAGGATGATAACCTTATATCCTTGTGAGGAAAAGGCTCCTTCCAGAGTTTTATTGGGATTATTCCAACAGAAAGAACCATTTCCAGAGACTAGTCATTCTGTTACTGCCCAAAGTGAACTTAACCTCTTCTCTTTTTTCTCTCTTTTTTTCCACAGGAGAAGGAGTTTGTCCTGAGCAATCTTGCAAAAAAAGCTAAGCTTACAGAAGATTTGTTCAACCAAGTCCCAGGAATTCACTGTAATCCCTTACAAGGAGCAATGTATGCCTTTCCCAGGATCTTCATCCCAACGAAGGCAATTGAGACAGCTAAGGTGTGTTGGTCCTTCCGGCTCTGACTCTTATCTGAATTCAAATCCTGCCTCAGACAATAGCTGTGTGACCCTGGGCAAATCACTTACGCCGTTTGCCACAGTTTCCTCATCTGTAAAATGAGGATAATGATAGCACCTACCTCCCAGCATTGTGAGGGTCAAATGTGAGAATGCTTGTAAAGTGCTTAGCACAGTGCTGGGCACATAGTAAGCACTACATACATGTTAGCTGCTCTTATGATTACAGTGGCAGCTGGAACAGGGGCTACTATTAGGCAGGGGTATGTGTTTTAGCCCTGAAAAAAGGATATTTATTCTTGGTCTCTTGGTTCCTCTGCTGGCTCAGCACCTGGATTAAGAATCAGGTCAGTGGCTTATATTTGCTGTGCAATAGAGAAGAGACCAGGGCTGTGTGCAGGACTTTGCCATCTCATTTTGGCAAATTCAAATGAAAGTAAACTCAAATTTAGCCTGAATTTCTGGTTAATATTCTTACTAGGAGTGGAGAATGGTGATTTTCCACTTAATTCTCAGAGATTGATTGTCAAATAAACCATGCATGTAGCACTGAGCACAATGCTTGGCACTGTGAGTTAGCAATAAATCCTTGCAGAATTAAATCTACACCCACTGTGTGTAGAATACTGTGTTAGCAGTAGCTGTTTCAAAGAGGTAGAGAAGGCTGGCATTGGGGGTAGGGCAGTACTCATCCACACAGGATGAGTACAAGGTGAAAAATATGTCAGAATAGAGTTAAGGAAACTATAATGAAACTATTGCAGTATAGTCAAAGTTACTGGTAATGCGGGCATATACTAGGATGACAGAGGGGAGAATTTAGAGGAGGGGCCAGATTCAAGAAATGCTACAGAGACAGAATCAACAGGGTCTATTGCTGTGAGGGAGAAGGGGAAGGAAGTCACAGGTAACCCCAAAGGTGATTTCAGAGAAACCTGGGAAGACTCATGAACTGATGCATAGGGATGTGAACAGTACCAGGAGACCAGTTTATACAGTGACAACAATATGGTAAAGACAAATATCTTTAAAAGAATTAGGAACTCTGATCATTGCTAACCATAATTCCAGAGGACATATACATATATACACATATATGCATGCACACATATATAAATACATACAAACACGTATGTTGAGTCATTTTAGTCAAGTCTGACTCTCTGTGACACCATTTGGGGTTTTCTTGGCAAAGATACTAGAGTGGTTTGCCATTTCCTTCTCCAGCTTATTTGACAGATGAGGAAATGGAGGCAAACAGGGTTAAGTGGCTTGCCCAGAGTTTACACAGCTTAGTAAGTGTCATAGGCTGGATTTAAACTCAGGTCCTCCTGACTCCAGGACCAGCACTGTGTCCACTACATCACATAGCTTTCCCAATAAATACATTAAAAAAACAAATAAGTAGACAAATGAATATATATATACACATACCTACACACAAACATGTGTATTTTATATGTATATATATATGTATCACATTTATATGACCGGGATGGGGAAATTTATTTTATTTTCCTTTTGTATACAATTGGGGGGGTCAGTTTTTTTTGCCAATTGGAAAAAAATAGGATATAATTAAAATAAAACAAAATCACGGATAACCCTAAACTGCCACACATCAGAGAGAGAGAGAGAAAGAGAGAGAGAGAGAGAGTAAAAGGCAGTAAGTAGTACCATAGTAGGTAGAAGTAATAAAGCCAGAAAGAAGAGCAGATACATAATGGAAACTATACTTAAGCAGTTCATAAGAGTTAAAAACTGTGGCCCATAGAGGTCAAATTACTTGCTCAAGATCATACACAGTAGCAGAATTGGAATTCCAGTCTGGGTCCTCTTATTCCAAATCCAGTGCTTTTTCCACTACAAATTCCTTTAAGGTAACGTGATGAAATTCAGCTGGTTAATAGGGGCCCTTGATGGCCCCTATTGATGGTCGAAATTTTGTTGGGAGAGGAAGTTGAGATTGGGCAGAATTCTGTTGGGGGTTAGTTTTGGATTTCAGGTATTCAAATTCTCCAATTCCCAGGCTAACCTTTCTAAAGAAATGCACATTTATGTAACCTGAACTAGGCTTAGAAAATTGAGGACCGTGTGGTGCTTTAATGACTAGATGGGAATTATGAACATAAAAATGTCTCTGATGTGCTTGTCAGAACTTGAAAATAGTTTGCTTCTTTTATAATTTAAACATTCCCCTTGCATTGTTGTTTGAGTCAGGGTTACAGACTTTTTCTTTCTAGATTAATGCAGGAGTCCCCAGCTGTCCAAATGATCACAAAGTCCAGGTTAATAACATTTTATTTTCTTGCATTATTCACTTGTTGAATGGTAAGGTGTTGGCATGTAAGTGTCAAGTGTCTGAGGCTGGATTTGAAGTCAGGTCATCCTGACTCCAAGGCCAGAGCTCTATCCACTGCACCACCTAGCTGCCTCTCATGTGAGCTCTTTGCAGATGTATGGCTGCTGTTTTCTTGGAGAATCTCCTACCCATAGAAACCTCAAAATCTTTAGCTAAGTTCTTGCCATAGGAGAGCATGGTACATTTGTGTGTAATACTGTTTACTTTTCAGGGCACGTTCCTACCCATTAGTGACCATATTTGAGCCTCACCATAATCTTGTGAAGTCCATAGGACATGTATTACTTTACATCTTTTATAGATGGAGAAACTGAGGCTTGGAGAAGACAAATCACAAAAACATAGGTTTAGAGCTGGAAGGAACCTGAGAGATGATCTAATCTAGGCTTTCTTAACCTTTTTGGCATCATGGATCCCTTTGACAGTCTGGTGAAGCCTATAGACCCTTTCTCAGAATAATGTTTTTAAATGTTCAAAGTAAAATGCCTTGGATTACAAGGAGACTATTATATCAAAATTCATTTTTTTTAAGTTCATGGATCACTGGTTAATCTAATCCCAACCCCTCATTTTATAGATGAAGAAACCGAGGTCCAGAAAGAAGTGAATTGCCCCCAATGTCACACAAATATTTAACGGTAGAGCTATGATTTGAACTTGGGTTTCTTGGCACTCAGCCTAAGGCCCTTTCCACTGTAACTCACTGCATCCCATTGATGCCTTTGGGAGACAGAGCATATGTGTATGTTTTCTTCTGCTCTGTTTACTCCCTGCAGCATACCTCTTCCTAGGACCTAACACTTGCCCATGTGGAAAACAGCAGTGTGGTACAAGAAAAGTGTGCTGGATTTGGAGTCAAGGGATCCTCAGTTTGAATCCTCCCTCTGCCACTTACCACTCATGTGACTTCAAGCAAATCACTGTCCCTTCCTGGTCCTCACTTTGCTCACCTGCCAAATGATGGGGTTGGATTAGATGAAGGGACTCTTGAGGTCCCTTTCATCTCTAATTCTATGATCTTCTAAGAGTAGGAAAGTATCCCGTTGAGTTTGATGTGTATGTAAAAAGCAAATAATGACTCATTAACTCTGCTCCATCCCCTCAGGCCCATAAGATGGCCCCAGACATGTTTTACTGTATGAAGCTTCTGGAAGAAACTGGAATCTGTGTGGTACCTGGCAGTGGCTTTGGCCAAAGGGAAGGGACTTACCACTTAAGGTACTTCATGCTCTCTGTGCTTGGGGGGATGGTTCTGAATTTGGGGTGCAACTGTGGTTTCATGTGCAGCCCCAAGATGAGCTGAAGTTATAGGCCAGGGAGAGGTCTTTCTTTGGAGAAAAACCAATATCCACCCCCCTACCATTTTTTTTTCACATCAGAAGAATGTATGTCCTTTACCTAGAGATGTCAAAAATGTGATTATTTTCAGTCTCTTTTGGATGGTGATTTGCTTTATCCTTGTCCTCTGTTAATAATTGCTAATAGCTAACATTTTATCTGTGCTAGGCACTGTGCTAAATACTTTACAATTATTATCTCATTTGATCCTCACAATAACCCTGGGAGGTAATTGCTATTATTATCCCCTTTTTACAGTTGAGGAAAATGAGGCAAACAAAAGTTAAGTGACTTGCCCAGATAGTAAGTGTCTGAGTCCACATTTGAACTCAGGTCTTCCTGATTCCAGGCCTGGTGCTAGGTATTGCACCACCAAGCCATATGAACCTTAAAGGTTTTACAAAACACTCTTCTTCTCAACCTCCCTGTGAGATAATTAGTAGCAGTTGTATTCTCCATTTTGCAGATGAAGAAATTGAGGCCCAGAGAGAACTGATTGGCTCAAGTCACACAACCACATTGTGTTACATGAGAGATCTGACTCAAAAACCAGTGTTCGCTCCCATCTGCTAGGCTTTTTTCCATTCTGAAAAGGTGCTGCCTTTATGAAATTAGGAAATTCTCTTAACTTATGATAATACCACCTTCCACCTATGATAATACCACCTATTTGCATAGCTTCTAGTTTAAAAAATATATATATATATATATCTTATTTCTGTTGATACACAAATACTCAGTTGGATTTCTGATCTCATCACTTTAGAAACTCTCACCACTGATGCATATTTCAACCCATCCTGCCGATCTTATGTGACTCTTGTCCAAATTCTCCCAGCAAGGCTGCCCTTGCTTTCTTGTACCATGAAGAGGGAGGGGAAGAAAAGGTCCAGGACAACCTGGATTTGTATTGATTTGTATCAATTTGTATTGATATCTTTTGTTTTTATATCACATTCATTTCCAAATTTAGCCATTCCCTGTTTCCTCCTCCACTCATTGAGCTGCCCCTTATAACTGCTAAAAATCAGAGATAAAAAGCAATTCAGCAAGATTCACTGATGCGTTGACCATTTCTGACTTTATTCAGCATACCTCACCCACAGTATCCCACTTCTTCAGTGCAGGGAGGGAGGTGTATTATCTCCAGCAGATTTCCCCTTCCCTTATCCCCTCTTTAATCTTCAACCTCTCCCTAGCTACTGGATCTTTCCCTATTTCCTTCAGACACGACCAAGGTCTCATCTTTAGAAAACCTTCCCTGGAGTCAGCTATCTCCTCAAGCTGCCACCCAATAGCTTTCCTCCCTTTCTCAACCAAACTCTTAAACATAGTTGTCTGCACTCACTGCTTCTATTTGCTCTCCTCTCACCTCTTCTCACTCACTTTTCAGATCTTTACAGTCTGGCTTCCAACTTTGTCACTTAACTGAAACTTCTGTCTCCAAAGTTACCAGTGATCTCTGAATTGCCAAATCTGATAATCTTTTCTCAGTCTTCATCTAACTTGACCTTTCTGCTGCATTTGATACTAATTGACAGCCATCTTCTCTTGGATACTTACTCCTCTGTAGGATTTCATGACTCTCATCTCACCTGGTTCTCCTCTGACCCCATGTGACCTCTACTTCTCAGTATCCTGTGCTTAATCATAATCTGTACCTCATCCCCTACCTGTCAGTGTTCTCCAGGGCTTTGTCCTAGACCTAGACACTTTTCTCTCTATGCATTTTCTCTTGGGGGCTTCCTCAGTTTCCATGGGTTTAATTGTTCTCTCTGCAGATGACTCATAGATCTATATATCTAGCCCCAGTCTTTCCTCCGAGTTTCAGGTCCATGTCACCAGCTGACTATTGGATATTTCAAACTTGACATGTCCAAAGTAGAACCTATTATTATTATTATTCTTCCAAACCCATCCCTCTTCCAAATTCCCCCGTTTCCCTTGAGGGAACCACCATTTTTTTTTTTTTTTTTTTTGAGTTAGGCAATGGGGTGAAGTGACTTGCCCAGGGTCACACAGCTAGTAAGTGTTATGTGTCTGAGGCCAGATTTGAACTCAGGTCCTCCTGAATCCAGGGCTGGTGCTCTATCCACTGCACCACCTAGCTGCCCCCTTGGGAACCACCATCTTTACAGTCACCCAAATTTGAAATCTTGGTGTCATCCACACCTCCTCACTGTCACTCACCCTGCATATCCAGTCACTTGTTAGATCTTGCTCTTTCTACTTCCACCTCTGACCCCTTCTTTCTTCACACAATTCTCAGTTTATTTCATGTCCTCGTCACCACTAGCATATTGCAGCAGCCTTCTACTTGTCTTCCTACCTCATCTCTGCCCAGTACCATCTCATCTTCAAAACAGCTGCCAAAGCCCTTTTCTTTAATTGTAGAGCGGATCATGCCACTTCCCTATTCCTCAAACTCTCTATTGCCATTAGAAAAAAATATAAACTCCTCTGTTAAGCCTTCCAAGCCCTCAACCACCTGACCCCAGTCTATCTTTTGGGCTTCTTTGTGTGTTACATTACTCTCCCTTTGTATTCCATGATCCAGCCAACTCTCCCTTCTGTTCCTCACATGCATCACTACGTCTTCAGTCTTGATACCTTTGCACTCTCAGTCTCTACCCATGCCTTGAGTAAATCCCTTCCTAACCTCTGCCTCACAGAATCTTTTTTTTCCTCCAAGATAAAGTTCATGCACCATTTTTTACAGGAAGTCTTTCTTGACCACTCTTGCTGCTAGGGTTCTCCCCTCCCTAACCACCTTGTATTTATTATTTTTATATTTATTTCGTATATATTCATATGTGTAGTTATTGTTCATTAGAATGTAAGTTCCTCATAAATAGAGATTGTCTTATTCATCGTATATGTTTCCCCAGTGCCTAGCTCAGTGCCTGGAACATCTGTTTGGGGGACATCTGATTATTTGGTTGCCTCATTTAATATAGATCACTTTCAACGTGTATGCAGAAAAAACCAAATCTGGAGGCATTAGCCATTGTTGTTCTGGACCGTGTGAGCCATTTTAAACGTTATTTCTTGTTTACATTCCCATAAGGCCTGTGCTTTGCAATTATGTTTATGTCCCTTTTTTCTCAGGAACCCTGTGAGGTGACTTAGTAATGTCACCTTCTCTGTACAAAAGTAAAAAAAAGAAAATGAGGCAAAAGGTAATTGAATGCCTCACCCAAGATCCAAAGCGAGGTGGCTCTAGAGCTACCAAATCACTAGCCCAGGGGTGGGCAGCCTGTGGCCTTCAGGCCACACGTGGTCCTTAAGTTAGGCCTTTTGAGTGAATCCAAATTTTACAGGACAAATGAAGCAGCACTTCCCCCCACCCCTGCACTATCCTGTTAACCACTTTAAGGACCAAATTTTAAAAAGAAACAAAAGACAGCCCTTGCCTTTTGAGATCTAGCAGCTCTTAGGAAGATGAAACTTAATGGAAACTGTGGAGACTATGATAATAGTACCTTACACTGATAGCAGTTTTACTTTTTAGAATGCTTTCTCACTTAATTTTCATAATAGCCCTCTGAGGTAGGCTGGGCAAGTACTGATGAGTAATCTGAGACACATACAGTTCAGTGACTTGTACAAAGTCTTACAGTATTTCAAGTACAGTGTTTGAAAAGTATTGTCACATAGGAGAAGGAGGAGGCTCGTTTTGCTTGGCACCAGAGGGTGCAATCAGTAGTAAAGGTTGGGGGTTATAATAAAGAGGATGTTTGGCTCAATAGAAGGAAAAACTTCCAGATATTTATAACTGCACACAGTGGACTGAAGAATTTCAGGAAGTACTAGGTTTCCCACCACTTAATGTGACCGTTTGTCAGGGATCTTGTAAAAGGAGGGTTTCTTTTCAGGTATGGATTGGCTAGATAACTGTTAAGGTCCCTTTTTGCTCATGAGACTGAAAATTTGTGGCAGCTGTGACTATAACTCAGGTGTTTGGATTTCAAAGTCCAAGGATTGTGGGCTGAATATAGCATAAACCAACCATAAGCTTTGAGAAAGACAGTGAATATAAAAGCTGTCAGGGTGGCATATGTTTGTTTAGAAAGGGCTTCCTGGAAGAAGCAGTTTGACTTTGGAGTAGCATTGTTTATAAATGTGTGCCAGTCAGCACATATTTTTAAAATAATTGTGTGGGTTTGTCAACTAGTGCCAGAAATTCTGCTGAACTCTTGGCCATAGAGCATGTGTGTTTGGTTTTCTAAAAGGATGTCTGTAATTTCCTTTTTTAATTTGGGTTGAGTCACTTGACTTTCCTATGTTGTAAAGTAATGACCAGGCTGGGAAGTCAGAAGACATGAGCTCAGCTATATTACTAATTCATTGTGTGGCTTGGGGTAAACCACTTCCCTCCCTTTACCTCAGTTTCCCCATCTGTAAAATGAAAGAGTGAGACTAGGTAATATCTCAGGGTTCTTTTTAGCAGTGAAATCCTATGAATTTTCTGAACTTGTTTTCTAATCTGTGAAATGTTTTTGAATTTATTTTCTAATCTGTGATCTGTTGAGATCGTGGCCATAAAACTACTCTTTAGCTATCAACTAGCAAGACATAGACAAAAGTTTTCAGGACTTTCCCTCCTTCACTCTAAGGGCTTTTGTGTTCCAGCCTCCCCTATAAAGTGAGGGCATTAGACCAGATGGCCTCTAATGTCCCTTCCAGCTTCACTTCTATAAGGTTGTGGATAACCAGGAATTAATTATAATCTTCTTTCTTTCTTTCTAGAATGACCATCCTCCCTCCTGTAGAGAAGCTAAAGATTGTCCTGGAGAAGGTGAAGGACTTCCACATAAAGTTTCTTGAGAAGTATGCATGAGGCCCAAGGCAGCATTGCCCAATGAGCAGAGACCTGGGGATTTGTTTGTAATTTGACTGGGTCCACAGAAGCCTTGGCTCAGGAAGCTTGTTGGACCAGAACCATTCTTCCCCAACAACTCTGCTGAGCATCTTGCCTAGGGGACTTTGTGATGTCCATCTTTGGTTTTATTGTAGGAGACTTTTTGTGCCTTGATGATGAGAATACTTCTCTTCCATGTTTCTGTTTCCAACCAATCTGGGAATTGGTCACAATTCAGAAAGCCCCGTAGGCCCTGACATCCACAGAGCTGACGCGTGAACTTGATCAGCAGACGTGGCCAACCAGTGCCCTCTGGTTTCTTTTGAAAATCCTATTTGAATTTGTAAAACAAAACAAAAAAAAAGTTATGTTGTTCTAAGTGGTTTCAGGTCTAGGTCAAAAAGCAAGTGCCAGAGAATGTCTTAACTTCAGTAAGTATTGGGTAGCTGAGGTTTGAGGCTATGCTTGATGTTATCTATAAAATAAAACACTTATCCTTATAAGAATCCAGTCATTTGAGAGGAGGGGTATTCAGAGATTAGATTGAGGATGTTGAAATCGTTGAGAGCCTTTCCCTTAAGTATGGCAATGGAGTTTAGAAAGTGAAAAGGCCTGACTGATCCAGCCTGTAAGTGGATGGGGGCTAAGAAGGCTTGTGGAAGGGTGGGGCTGAAGAGGAAGGAGATGGATACATGGAGCTCTGACTCAGCAGGAATACCACTTGGGAAAAAATGAGATACAGATTTTGTCCCCATGGAGAGCTTCAGGCAACCTGAAATGTCTTGTTGGACACAGATGACCATTACCCCTGTTCTATAGGAGGCTTCTCTTAGGGATTTTGGGGTGATGGATTAAGGGACTCTTGTTACATCCACCCTGGCACTCCTGCTGGGAAAGTTCATGGGTTTAAGGGAATATCTATTCTGCCACCCTGTGATTTTACTGCTGCAAAAGATCTCCCCTTCACTTCTCCTTTGCAAATTGTCTTGGGATGTAAAAGACCGACTTGTCTGTCCTTCTTTTCGGCACAACTGAAAATAGGACCTAGAAGAATGCAGTTGTGGTGATATGGTAGAGGCTGTTTGGTAGGCCCTTCGACACCTTTTTATTGGCTAAAGTCTTGAGCATCAAAGGCCTAGTAACTTTGCCCTCCCTGCCCCCCCCCCCCCAAAAAACATGGGCCGATTGATTACAAGGTTTTTTTTTTCCCCTTGTCTGACTTTTAAATTAATATGAAGCTAAGTCTATTCCCTTTAGAAACTGCTTCACACAATATAACCTGCTTCCCCTTACTTTGGGAGATTTCCAGATGGAGCTCATTAGGATGGAGAGAAATTTTGAGGCAAAACACAGATCTGATACCTCCCAAGAGACAGGTGTAGACAGGATCCAGAGTTAGGGATTGGTGGGCAAGGAATCTACCGTCTTTCCTCCTCTGACTCCCAGCCCCCTCAGTCATCTTGGTATTCATGTTGGGCAGACAAGAAAGGCTTAATCAGCTGGGAGAGTGGCCTTCACATAGGTAATCTCAGTTCCCTGTCTTGTTTTCATACAACACAGCTATCTTTTATTAATCCTAACCCTCTTCATTGTATAGTTACAGAAACCTGGGATGGAAGCTCAGGTACTCATCACTTATCCCCACAAGAGGGATTGTCAGGGAGTAGACTGAAGAAGTGAGCCTTCCTCTTTGTGTCCCCGAGGACTGGGTAGGGGGGTCGGGCAAGGAGAGGAGAACCAATGGGAAATTTGATTATTTTAATCTGTCATTATTCACAAGCATCAGATTCATTCTGAAGAAAGTAGCCAAGTTCATAGATATCAAAAGGGAAGAGTTGAAGGTTTTTTTCCTGCTTAAGAATTTTTGCACTTACACATGCAGTGTGTGATGGCAAAATGTCCAAAAGTAGTTGGAGACTTCTGATTGGCTGCTTAGAAAAGGTGGCTGGAACTAAATAATGCTCTATTTGAAAAAAGGTTTAACAGTGGAGAAGTTAGTATATTTTTTATATTTTTGTAACAATTGCTTTTCTCATGGCAGGGGGACAGGGAGGAAGGGTTCATATTTCAGTCTTACGGAGCCCAATAGATTTTTATATTTCCCTTCAGACAACAGCCCTAAAAACTTTGCAAGGTTTACATGATTTTTAAAGATGCTATACATTTGTTACACTTAATAACACAAACACAAACACACACAGAAAATACAGTTTTTAAAAAAACAGATACAAGCTATTCTAGGGAGATCAATTTCGTTTGAAAGGACCGAACTCTTAGAGATTTGAGTTTTATGCACCTTTTGTTTTGGTGTCTTGATTTTTTTGGCACCAATTTCGGAGGGAAAGAGCCAGTAATTCCTTGATTGCTGTGCTTTTAATCAACAATGTAAGTTTTTCTACTGTGTCATTCACCCCGTCTGTCTGTATCATAACCAGCGGAACCAACCTCACACATAGAAAATCCACTCTCAGAGGTAAGTCCATGGAGTTGCAAGCCCAGATTATTGACTTGTCTCCATTGTTAACTGTAGCTTGCCACCAAGAGCAAATACAGACTTCATTCTGCATGTTTCCAGTTTGGGTTCTCACAGGGATTTCCTGATATGGTCTTTCATGATGTTAAAGTTTTTAAACAATAAAACACATACAAAATAGGTGGTTGTATTTAACTGTGTCTGTTGCAGAAGCTCCTGATGCAACAGGCAGGACTTTGTCTTAATGTTCTAAAAAGGTTAATGAGATTTTATCCAAATACAAATTCTAGGCCTGGTCTCAGCTTTTTTTTTTTTTAATCTACTTAAACTAGATTCCTCCCCCAGGGTGGTCTCCTAGAAGGAATTTCACTTCCTACAGCTAACCTATTATGTTGAAACTACATGGGGAGGAGCAGCTAGGTGGCGCAGTGGATAGAACCCTGAAGTCAGGAGGACCCGTGTTAAAATTGGGCCTTAGACAACTAGCTGTGTGACCCTGGACAATTCACTTAGCCCTGATTGCCTCAAAAAAAAAAAAAAGAAAGAAAGAAAAAGAAGAAAGAAAACTATTTTGAGGGTTTTAACCTGGTTCTGTTGATAGATTACGGGGAGCCCAGGAACTTGGATGGAGAAAAACAATATTACATTACATCTTTATTTTCACTAACCTTTGATTTTCTTTGTAATTCTATGTCTCTTATTTTACGCCTTTAAATATATTATTCCAAGGAGTCCATAGGCTTCACCACAAATACATGGACAGGAGTCTATGGCCCAAGAAAACGTCAAGAACTGCTCTACATGGATTTCCACGTAATGGACAGTTTATTATAAAAATTTCCATCAGTGTAGGGGCTTCCTTGTGTAGGAACCCTTTCAGCCAGTGAGGAGTACAACCCATCTATGACTTAATAGATAAATTTGCAGGGAATTAGTTGCCTGAGGATATAGAGATTAAGTGACTTGCCCAGCATCCCATAGCTAAGTAAGTCTCTGAGGCGAATTTGAACCCTGGCTTTCCTGACCCCAAGCCCAAGCCTCCATCTACCCTTACCAGGTTCTGGGCCCAGCACTCCCTCTGGGCTGCCTCTGGATACTTGTTTTTTGGACAGACCTGTTGATTTCATCAGCATAAGGTATTCCCAGTGAAGAAGCTTCCTCAACCAACAGCTAACATTTCTGTAGCACTTTTAAGGTTTGCAAAGCACTTTATGCATGTTATCTCATTTAATTCTCACAACAACCCTGTCAGGTAGGTGTTACAGGAAATGGAAATTAAGGGACTTTCCTAAGGTCTCACCACCAGTGCCAGAGGCAGGATTCAGTGCCAATATGCTCAAAGATTTAGAGTTGGCTCAGGCAATGACAAGGTGACACAACCATTACTTTGAGAGATGGAACTTGAACCTAGGTTTTCTTCAACACTGGCTGTCTCCATTAAACCAAGTTGCCTCTCAAATACTTAAGTTGTGTTGTTGTTCAGTTGAGTCTGACTCTTCATGACCCCATTTGGGGTTTTCTTGGCAAAGATACTGGAGTGGTTTGCTATTTCCTTCTCTAGCTCATTTTACAGATGAGGAAACTGAGGCAAACAGGATTAAATTATTTGCCCAGGGTCACACAACTAGTATGTGTCTGAGGCCACATTTGAACTTGGGAAGATGAGTCTACCTGATTCCAGGCCCGACACTCACCTACCTCCCCAAATAGTTGAAATGATAAATTGTCTTCCTACAATGGTGATAAAACAGCTGATAGTTTCTTTGGTAAATCAAAGTATTTTCAAAATAAGTATTTTGAATCTAGTAGAGAAAGGAGGAAAGTGTCTTTGACATCTACATTGACACATCCTTGCTTCCCCAGGGTACACGTGTCCTTTGTCAAGGGGTAGGGGGTGGCAGGGAGGTTAGATGTCTGAGGTAGCTTGACTGAGAACCAATGAGTAATTTGTGAGAGATGGGAGAGAGATCTGGAAGACCACCTGCTGCTTGATGGTAGAACCAAAGAACTAAAGATTATTTCCACCCCTCAATCCCTCTTCTCCAGTGCAAACTGCATAGGTGTATGGTAAAGAGTGACCTGGAGAAAGTCTTAATCGTTCACCATTATTTGTTAAGATTTGCTCTAATCAAGCCAGCAACAAACAGTTGCAGGCGCCATTGGCCAGAACCAGGACTTTGCTTTGTTGTATTGAATCCTTCACTAAATTTAGATTTTACCTCATCATACTGCCCTTGGTTCTAGATATGTGAAGATGTGGCAAGAGGTAGGAGGGTAGGAGTGGGGTGGGGTTGCTTTGGTGAGTCATGGCTTAAAAGAAGAGTTCTTAACTTTAGTTCCATGGACCCCTTTAGCAGTCTGGCAAAGCCAACAGACCTCAGAATAATATTTTTAAAAAGTAAAATACACAGGACTACAAGGGAACCTTACTACATTAATACACAATTATCTATTTTTTTTAGTTCATAGACCCTAGGTTAAGTATCCCTAGCTTAAAAGATTGCTACCTCAGTTGGGGAAGGATGTTCTAGAACAGCTAGGCCCCAAATTTGAGCCTCCCCACCATTATCTAGTTCTCTCAAGTCTTCCCATAAATGTTGTCCTGCCTGTTACCTTCCACTCAGACCAGTAAGTACTAAGGCTCTGGACCCTTCTGTAAATGAAACATCCACTTTTCACTCTTTTGAAACCTCAAGATGAATTAAATTGTTTCTAAAGATTTCAGTTTCCCTTTTGTGGAAAGGGGATTGAATTACCTAAATTAGACCAGACCATGGGTGGGGAACCTGTGGCCTTGAGGCCACATGTGGCCTTTTCACTGAATCCAAGTTTTACAGAAGAAAAATCCTTTTATTAAGGAGATTTGTTCTGTGAAGTTTGGATTCAATCAAAGGACCACACTTGAGGACCTAGAAGGCCATATGTGGCCTTGAGGCTGCAGGTTCCCCACCCCTAGAGTAGACTACCTATACAGCTCCTTCTAGTTCTAAATTCCATAATTATTGGTTACGTAACCATGGGCAAGTCACTGGGCTTCTTATTGTAAAGTGGGCACAGTAATCTATGTCCACCCCTACCTCAGGGCTATTGTGAGGATCAAATGATAATCATGTTTGGTAGAGTACATTGTGAACTACAAGGTATGTCTACCTAGAATATTATTATTCACTGACTTGTGATGCAGATACTGTCAGTTTAAAAAATGTGAAAAGCTGAGGTTGTAGGGAAGATGGGAGTCAGTTTACAGATGACTCCATGAACTTAGATGACATTTGGGACTAAGTTTACCTTCTCATGTACAATGGCTGCATGTCGCTTGTTCAGCATATGATTCATGTTTGCAAAATGCTTTACCTACCCTGTGTCGTTTGAGGTCCACAGAGAGTTTGGGGAAAGATAGGTAGATTTGAGAATCATCAGCATAGAGATGGTAATTAAATCCATGGGAGTTGATGAGGGCACCAAGTAGAAGAGTATAGAGAGAGAAGAAAAGAGGGCCCAGGACAGAACCTGAGGGACACCCAAGGGCAGAGGGCATGATCTGAAAGAGGATTCAACAAAGGAGACAGAGAAGGAGCAGTCAGAGAGGTAAAAAGAGGACCAGGAGACAGTAGTGTCCTGAAAACCTAGAGAAGAAAGCATCAAGGAGAATGAGGATTGAGAAACAGTCATTGGATTTGGCAACTGAGAG